AATCGTTTCTCGATAGCAAGGCCGACCATATCAAGCGCAGATCCGGCGAGTATTCGACTTTAGGCTCTGAACGCCAAGGGTCAGGAGGTGGTCTGAATCGCAAGCGCTCCATGTTATCAAGACAAATAGACAATTCTTCAGGTTATACAGATGGCGCGGATCGCTTGGAACACCAACGCTCTCAATCGAGTAAGCGAGCTGGCATGCTGAGTCCCAACTTGCAACAGTTGGAAAGCTTGGTGGATGATTCTCAACCGATGAACAAAGAATCACTCGTACGCGGCATACAGAATATCGGTATTGAGGACAGGCCGATCCTGCCCCCCGCGCCTCCGGGAAACAGCCTACGCCGATCAACCCGGACACAATATAAGAAAGCGGGCAGTTTGAAAAAGGGCGAAAAGTTGCCGTACTCTAAACGAGTTGGACGCGGAGCATCTGAATCTGCAGGGAGTGATACAGGACCTCCGGTTGTTCTACCACCCCAAGAACCCACAATTCTGGGGCCCACCCGTGTCTCGACGGATCCTACTCCCAAAACGACGCGTGCGACTCGAGCCCCCTCTGCCTCAACGCACGGCTCAGCTTATGCCCCAAGTTCAACCGCGAATTCGACATTCGATCCGATCCCCGACCAGCCTGAGGCCGAGCAGGAAGGCTTGCCCACTTCTGGTGGGCAGCCGGATACTGCTCTGGATCGATCCGAGTCTGGAGATGGGGCCAATACACGGAAATGGCATTCTCGTATCAGTTCGAATGGCCGATCTACCTTGAACATTGTCCCAGGCGACCAGAAGATCCCGGCAATAATTGAAACCCCTCCCGCCTCTGAATCTAACCGCATCCCAAGTCCCCCTTCACAAAGTAGGGGGTCATCGGATCGTGCCACGGCATCTACACCGTCGTTGAAACCCGCGACTTCACATGACCCGCCATCAAAACGTCCCAAGAATCCTCACCTACCTCCCCACGAACCCGCATCTTCACTCAATGACTTTGCAAATAACCCCCAGATGATACCTGGTAATAGTACCCGTACCGACAGTCTTTCGTTCATCCCTACTGTCTCAGAAGAACGCAAACACGAAGATCGGAAATCGGAGAGCAAGAAGTCAAAAGACAAAAAAGACTCTGATGGTAGCCGCAAGTCTAGTTGGCACTGGTTGCTGGGCAGCGAAGAAAAAGACAAAAAGAAGGACAAGGACAACGACTCGAGAAAGACGAAATCAAAGATTGTCGACAAAACCCATGACAACACACGTCTGGACGTTTTACAATCATCTATCGAGAGCACTCCGCGCCGTCGCGAAAGTCTTGTTTTGGACCGCCTCGATCCGAAGCTTGATGAAGAACGACGCAAAGACAGCGTGAGGAGAGCGTCGGGAGATTCGAAGAAAGAAAAGGATGGCATTTTCTCTTCTATTTTTGGCGGTGGACGAAAGAAACATACCAATGAAGGCCACCACCGAAAGCATTCGTCTCGAAACCTTTCTCCCGATCCCCCAATGCGACTACTTCGCGCCGACGTCGATTATGCATGGTCTCGCTTCTCAATTTTGGAGGAGCGAGCTATTTACCGGATGGCGCATATCAAGCTTGCGAATCCCCGACGAGCTCTGTACTCCCAAGTATTACTAAGCAATTTCATGTACTCATACTTGGCCAAGGTACAACAGATGCATCCGCAGATGCCGGTTGCTTCATCTGGGTCATCCCAGAGATCCTCGAAATCACGAGATCAGCCAGATGAGTATTTGCAATATCAGCGATATCAAGAGGTAAGCAAATATGGCTCCCGTCCTAGGGAAGTACAAGATTACTAACATTCTCACACAGTCACAGGAGCAACAGCAACAGCAACAACAACAACACTACGGTGAAAGTTCCTATGACGACTCTTCCATGTACGACTATGATGACGATCCGCATGATCGCGATCGCTACGGTGGCCATTCAAGGAGTGACAAGCAAGGCTATGAAAATGGCCAAGCTTACGGCCCGGGCCACTACCAGTACGGACACTCGTCCTTTGGCGACGACGTCCAACTCGATGACGACGATGACGATGATATGTGGTGAATCTGGGGCTGGCATCCTCACTCGTTTCCTTTCTACTTCTCTTCCCACACTTCTGCTTTCTCGTTTTCAGCAGCGCACGGAAATACCCATGCTTTTTGTCAGTTCAGGATGTTCCTAGAACATATACACTCAAGCCGCGTTCTCCCATCTTCATACATTACCCATGTCCTTTCAAATGTTTCTTCATAATTCCTCGTGTACCAATTCTCAAAGCGGCTCGTATTATTACGCACTCATTGGCATCTAGCACTAGGGATGGTGAATTGGGGCTTTGGCAGGGGGTCGCCCTCTCTAATTCCTGCGCTTTTTTTTCTGGCTCGGTTTCATGCTGGCACTCGAGAGTGCAGTATATTCGGCCAATGCGTGGGCCGGGTGTCGTGTTTGGGCACAAGCTTTGATTTATCTCTTCGCATAGCGTCTGGGGTTTTCCTTTTTCTGTTCTCTCCCTCCTGGGTACACTGCGATCCTATACCTTGGGTGTATTTCATTATTTTTTTTCAATGCTTAACATTCCCACGAATAAATCATGGACTGGTTATGTGTTTGTCAATTACTCATATTGTTGAACTTCAAAAGGTTGTTCCAAACCATGTTAGTCCGTACCCAGGTACACTATCAAGATCACTGACACTTGAATTTATATTCATAAGAATAGTCGGTGGCTTATGCAGCCTCTGTCCTCGGCGACATAGAGCTTCAATAATTATATCCATTTAGCTCACAATATTGCGAGCGTTATTTTAAGATTGATATACTCAACTGCTACAGAATGCCTTTGTATATATGTGCAACCAGAAATCGAATAGAATTACTAAAATTATTGTATCGTACAATCTGGTCTATTAACATCGGCGCAAGATCTCTCATTCGCTGCTTTCTGTATATATTTCGAGCATCTATCTTCGTCATGGAAGCGGCTCCCGAACAGCTGCGACACACTACGTTGCACTCAAAGATAGCACCACCATCCACAAGATTTCCGGCAGCTATTAATGGCTTGGTTCCGTCGTAGTGGACTCTAGTTATTATCAGCTGTGTCGGGCCCAACCTAGCCATTTAGAGATTCTGATATATATCGACCCTTTAACTTGTTTTCTAATCGCCAGGACATTTTGAATGCCGGGAAGGATGGAAAGGTTTTCTTTTAGTGCCATGCGTTTTACACCGGTACTTGAAAAACTTCGCGATGCCCGAAACAAACAAGCTGGCAATGATTTGCTCTTTGTTCGAAAACAATGGGATGAAAACATGATGAGATAGCTCTTGATAGTTGAGATACAAAGACGAAAATTTGGTTGAATAATTTATATATAAGGACATCGTTGATTAAGATATAGGCACGTAAGTAGTTAAAAGTCGGATGGATGCACCAAAGTAAATTGGCCGGATCTCGATGTTCGCTATGAGGCTGCGACAAGATTCATGAAACTTGACAGATTTTATACACTTTCAGCCTTGATCGTATGATTGTTCCTTTGTAGTATGGCACTATGCGTTACTAAAAGATAAATATTTCTAAGATTTATGAATATTCCATCGCTATATCACGCATATATATTGATCCTGATACATCTGAGCTACTAATCTAAAGGCTTTTTTCCCCCTACACATTCCTCATCGCTTTTTAGGAAATATAAATTCTCCGGTCGGGTGATTCTTCGAGCGATTCTTCATTGACAAGCTGCAATCAAATCATATATTCTGGAACAATAGGGTTTACAAAGAGATGGAATTCGCATTACGTCGCCAGCTGTTTGACGATTGAGATGTTGCCGACAAGAAACGTTTAAAGCAGTCCCGCATCCTGATGATTCTCTACAGCGTATGCTGCGAGAACGCGATAACGCTAGAGAGCAATGAGGGCAGACAGCACAAGAAACCAATGCTGGATAATCCTGGTTCACGGTGATTCGAAACCAATGTGAACAAACGGAATAGACAGACGGTGGTGATAAAAGGGTATCAGAAGGAAAGAAAGGCGAATCAGCTCAGACGAATGCATGATAAGGGAGACCGTCCAGAATCCATAGGCCTTCCAATCAACATTCCCCAAAGATTCCTCGAGGGGACCGAGCAGGTGTCACAATCTTTCACGGTTAGTTTCAGCTGTGGTTCGGCCGTTGGGGTCAAGCCACCACCCAGTTTGAATTGCTCGGTTCTCCAGAGAATTTCTGTGCCAGCACACACCTCTATTCCCAATGGCTTCGAAAACAATTTTGATTTCAAGCATGCTATTCTTTTTAAACATCGCCTTCCCAAATCCTCTTGCTCTTTGGTCTAGACAAGTCTTCGAAGGGACATAGCGGCAAGGGTCGGATGCCTGTTTTTATATGGTGCCTAATTTATGTCTGATTTTAGACCGCTTTCGACGCTCCATATAGTGTGCTATAAATAGCAATATAATTGAAGCTATTCCCACAATACAAATCCTCTGATTTAATGATGTGTGGTGTTTTAAGATACTAGATCGAGGATCTCGTTATGGATTTTGAGATCAATCTGTGGAGATATTCTGTACGGTCAGAGGGCTTCAACGGGGATTTAATAAATTCGAGGGTTTGGGCCTTGGACGCCTAGGATTAGCTTCATTTTTCCTGTCTTTAAAAGGGGTTGGACATGGGTTCTTGGCTTGCTAAGGTCTTTGTCATAGTAATTCAGGTATTTTAATTCCTGCTAGTCTAAAACCAGGCATGAACCAGGCATAAACCATGTAAAATCAGACACCCCTCTGTGCCCCTTCACAGGCAACCCGGTTAACTAAATCTATAGCTTAACCGGCTGATTGCCTCGCATTTGAGCGTTCGGCAATATTCATGATTGGTCATACTTGTCAGCTCGACTTACGTCCTAACTCTCTATGGTACTTTCCTCTGCTCTCTCAATTGTTTTCTTTTTTTCCTTAGTATACAAATTCTACAAACATGGTGGGCACAGTAATTATCACCGGTGCAACCGGCTCGCTCGCACTTGAAGCCGTGCAGCAACTTCTGTCATCGCATCCTCTGTTGACCATTGTTGGCACTGTCCGAAATGCAACAAAATCCCCCCAAACCCCTCAATTACTTCGACTGAAAGAGATTGCGCGCCAGTATCCTTCCAGCAAGCTCCTGATCAAAAGTGTGGATCTAGGCTCTATTTTGGAAGTACGGGCATTCTCAAACGAAATTGCTAGTCTGGTGGAATCTAACGAACTTTCACCGATTTCCGCCATCATTTGCAATGCATTCACATGGTCGCTAGACGGTCAGCAATTTTCCAAGGATCGGTTGGAATCTACCTTCCAAGTCAATCATCTTTCGCACTTTTTGCTAGTTCTCAAACTTCTGCGGAGCATGGACCCCGAGACGGGTCGAGTGGTCATGCTTAGCTCTCAAGTTCATGATCCCGAACACCCCAGCCCTCTTTCAAAACTGGGCGCAGAACTTCCATCCAATGAGAGTCTTGATGTATTGGTCAAGCCTGGCGCAGATGAGGCTGGAACAGAATATGATATGGGCTGGCGACGATACGCAAACAGCAAGCTGGCCAATGTCATGTTTATGCAAAGTTTGAACAGACTACTCCAACAGGTATGGGCAAATTCGTCAAAATGTAGCGGATCACACTAAGTCTACTATCTCTAGAATCCGATCTTCAGCAAGATCACCGTGACTGCTATGGACCCAGGTGGTCTTGTTAACTCCCGGGCCCATGCCGCTCAGCCTCCAGCCATTCGTATCGTGTTTATGCTGCTCGTGCTTCTACTTCCAGTAATCAAGCTTTTTACTGACAAGTATCGGTCAAATTCCGACTCAGCCCGAGATGTTCTAGCGCTCGCTTTGGCCCCTGAGTATGCATCAGTGAGCGGCCATTTCAATGGAAGGAAGCCTCAACCCCCTGCGTGTGTAAGCAACGATGAGGGAAAATGCGAGGCTCTCTGGCAGGCTTGTTGGAACTGGGTTGATATAAAAGACAGCGAGACCTGTGTTCCCAAGAGTTACCCCTAAACACAATTAGATAGAACAAGTGCAGCATATTGTGATGATCCATGCAGATGGATAACATATGTATATAGCCAGATATTATTAAGGCTGCCTGATGTTACAAAATTCTCAAAATAAAAGGATATGCCTTCCCTTTGGATATATCCTAGGCTACCCCACCCACGTGATGCCAACACGTGATTACCACATGGCTCTGTGATTGGTTCCCTCATCATCATTACCCGCATCGATCTCTATCTCTATCTTATCGGAGGTATCAAGATCATCACGAAAAAAGCCACTTTTCACCTTCGTCACCCCCCGCTCACGTCCCTTACAATTGTCCAACGTCGCAGTCCTTCGCAGGGAATGAGCAAGTACCTCAAATACTACTGTAACAAAATCTGTGATCATAGCTATGGGGGACTCCGGGGATGAGCTCTTCAAGGTATGTCGCGTCCGACTGGTTCACACACAGTTTAGGCAAAGCTTGTTGCTATACCACTTGCTTGCCATGCTCTGGTTCTATTTCTGATTTTTATTTAGGAGCTTGAAAGAACCTACTGTCCGCCAATTGATCCCGCGTTGTTTGTTGCGATCGTATCAGACTTTGACTTGACCATCCCCACTCAAGTTGAACAGTTGCGTGAAACCCTAGACGTGTTGAACGCATCTGCCGTTGAGCAAGAGAATTTGCCATTTGACCCGACAGGCACAACCAACATCCGAAATTCTGACGTCTCAGGATCTTTGATCGGCGAATCATCTGACGATGCACCTTCGGAATTTACAAGCTGGCCATCGCTTGACCATCCTGAACAAGATAACGATGATCCCAACGACGCCAGTCGTGAGGCCCAAAGTCTCAAAGGCTCTAAGCTTGCATACACCTTCCTGGGTATGACGACTGCCGACAAGGCACAGAACTTGATTAGCATGTTCCCAAGCATCACTCGCCTGGAAGCTGAGCGCATCCTCGAAGATTGTCATGATAACCTCAGTCGCTCCATGGATGTCTTGCTCAATCTTGCCTTCATTGAAGAGACACAAATTGCGCGAGAGATTCCTCAAGAAACCCCTAAAGAGGCTGCTCAAGACAGTCAATCCTCCGTGCCCAAGTCAATCGATGGCTTCCAGGCCAAGGAGGACCTGAACGGCGGCAGCAAGAAATCCCGAAAGAAGAAGAAGCAGCAGAACCAACGTCGAGTCGACTTGGCCTCCCAGGCCATGAATAACACCGCTACCAATAAATGGGAGACAGGCAAAAAGGACATTGATTTTATTTCCTCGCGGGCGTGTGCTTTGCAGAGGGAGAAAATTGCGTCGATTTATCATGAGAACTCAATGTCACTCTGTGCAACAATCAGAGTTTTGGCACAGGCCCATGCGCCCAAGGACATCCACGAAATTGAGGACGATCCTGTACTCGTTACGCAAGTGGGGGAGCTCAGTCACAAGTACCCTGGCGTCCAACCCACCACATTAATTGGCTTGATTCGAATTGCAAACAATCAGATTTCAGCCGCAGATGATCTGGCTGACACCTTATCCCGTCGGCCTGATATCACTTCTGTTGCAAATATCATCAGTTTTGTCTCATCCCCGGTCACCCTTGACGACGAAGAGGAGAATGTGGCTCCAGCTCAGCAGATGGATTCTGCCTCAGACTTTATGGATTTCAACCAAGCCGCTGCCGCCGCCAACTCCCACTTTGCAGCCCGATCAGCTGCCCTCGCCCAAGCCTCCCAGTCCGCCCGCCGCGCCCGCTCCAACCCCCTCTATGGCGGTGCCTCTGCCTACTATCGAGACGTCGGCAACGAGCAACGTCAGCTGGCCATGCGTCATTTGGCGACAGCTTCTGACCGGCTGGTTGCCCGCCAGTCCTCGCACTCTGACCTGGACTTGCATGGCGTGACGGTTGCCAACGCGGTTAGAATCGCTCGCGAGAGAGTGCAGGCGTGGTGGGACGGACTGGGAGATCAGAAGTACGTTCGTGGTGGGGGTCAGAGTTCCCACGGTGGGTTCAATATTGTGTGCGGCGTTGGTCACCACTCCCTCGACCGCAAGTCACATATTGGACCCGCCGTGTGGAACATGCTGTTGAAGGAGGGTTGGCGCGTGGAGCTCAACCGGGGCTCTATGTTAGTGACCGGAGTGAGCCGTCGATGAGATTATTTTGAGTTGTCTATATTTTTTTGCTTTCTTTTCTTCAATTTTTTTCACATGTCAGATTTTGTTGTTGAGATACCCCTGCACTACTGCTGGAGTTTTCCCAGGTGGGACCTGTTTTGAATAATCAAACATTTTTTTTTCAAAAAAAAAGAATCGGCTTGTAACACTGTAGAATGTAGAATATATAAATCTCTTCATGCTATAGACCTAGCCAGATGTCAGTCTAGGCCTTAAAGAGTCCCCGGGGGCCTCCCCGCATGATGACGTAAAGGCCCCTAGGCCAGGTGCCCGTACGAGATTAGCTTCACCCCACTCTCATCTTTGCAGGTGCTTCAGTTGCCGGTCACTGCTTATTCTTTTCTTATTATCCTTTCAAACCTGTCTCTAGGATCCATCAATTTTTCTCTATGCGATCCCAATTATCTCGCAATCTTATTTCGCCCTTCAGACACCAGACTATCCCTATCCGACTTGCGCCAACATTGTGCTCCTCCCGATTCTTGTCCTCGACACGCAAGCCTCCCCATTCGAAGACAAGCACTAAGGTTCTCAGAGCTGCGCCAACCATTCCATTTTTTGGTGCTTTCTTCAGCTCCAACCACCCCGAAAAAACAACCGACACCATGTCGCCCCCCGACCAGAGAAGCGAAGACCAGTGGAGAGCTGTTTTGAGCCCAGGTTTGTACACCATGGAGGGGGTTGAACCCATAGGCGGTATATATATAATGTCTGCTTACACAAATGGCCACAGAACAATTCCGCATTCTCCGTGAGAAGGGTACTGAGCGCGCTGGCACCGGTGAATACGATTCCCACTACCCGTCGAAAGGTGTCTACAATTGCGCTGGTTGCGATGCGCCACTTTACACCGCCGACCACAAGTTCAAATCTGGCTGTGGCTGGCCAGCATACTTCGATTCCATCCCTGGTGCTGTGACTAGACATGTTGACAACACCTTTGGCATGAAGCGGACAGAGATCGTATGCACCAATTGCGGGGGTCACCTCGGACATGTATTCGAGGGTGAGGGGTATCAGACTCCGACGGACGAGCGTCATTGCGTGAACAGCGTCAGTCTGCGCTTTACAGAAGATACCAGCGCTGTGAAGAATCCCCAGTCAAAAGCTTGAGAGGGGTTTCATGACGTTCAATCATCATTTTATTATGCGGGAACTAATGCTGCAGAAAGGCCGACATGCATGATACGAGAGGCGTCGTTTTGAGTGGACCAACCATATTTTATAGCTATTAACTTTAAAGAAATTCTTCAAACGCAAAGCAAATACAAAATGTTTGTAGTTAATATTCTTAAAAGATTTACTGCTATTGGCCAGCAACCCCATGTTACTTTCATCAAACTGCGTGACTGGCATTTTCCCCCATCCGTATATACAACCGCAGCCTTAGGCCGCAACCGTGCCGACCGCCACCTAAGAATAATTGGGTTGATCTCATTGTTTCCCTATCCCTTTCACCCATCAATTGTTGAGGTGTTGCTATTATGTCTCGACGTCCTACTCCAGGCCAAGCGGCCCAAAACTCGCAAACTATCAAGTCTCTGCTGAAACTCGAGCACAACAAGATATGTGCCGACTGTAAACGGAACAAGCGTGAGTCCCCTCCTCGAGTTGCGCCCACGCTGGCTTCATCTCCGAGGATATTTCTTGGCGCTCATATACTAAATTGTTTTCTGAATAGATCCGCGATGGGCTTCCTGGAACCTGGGTGTCTTTGTTTGCATTCGGTGCTCGGGCATTCACAGGGGTATGGGCACGCATATCAGCCGAGTCAAGTCTGTGGATCTTGATGCGTGGACCGATGAACAACTTCAGAGTGTTGTGAGATGGGGCAATGGAAGAGCCAACAAGTTCGTCGCAACTAATTGACCGACTACGTGGACATGGGCTAATACAATGCAGATACTGGGAAGCGAAACTGGCACCCGGCCATGTTCCCTCCGATGCGTAAGTGCATTCAGATAATCCTCGTTCAGCAACCATAGGTTCTGACAGCGTGAACAGAAAGATCGAGAACTTCATCCGGACGAAGTACGAGAGCAAGCGATGGGTAATGGACGGTGAGATGCCGGACCCTTCGACCCTCGATGACGGCGATGACGATGTGGTGAGTGATCGCAATAGACCAGCCAGTTAGCAGCCATCACTGACCGATTAGCCTCTTGCGGTCGTACAGGAGAAAGCAAAGATTGAACGTTCTGCTTCGCAACGAGTCCCCGCTCCCAGCCAACCTCCGGCACACCGGCAACAAGCCTCGATCGATTTGTTCGGCGACGATATCTCCCCTCCTCCTCGCCCTAATACAACCGGACCTACTCCGCGTGCGCCACCTAGACAAGCACAGCCTGCACCAGTCAAGACTCACAAGCCCAATGATTCATTGTTGGGTCTCGACTTCTTTGGTAGCACCCAGCCTTCTACTGGTAGTCGCCCGTCTAGCACAGCATCTTCACCCGCACCACCAGTCGGAATGTCTCGGCCGGACCTCAAACAGTCAATCTTGTCATTGTACTCGAAGCCGCAGCCGACACAACCCGTGCAGCACGAGCGGGGCAACTCCTTCGGCGCCATGGCCTCGCCTCCTGCCCCCTCCCCTTCGTCTCACATGGGCGGTCTGACGGACGCCTTCAGTGGACTGAGCTTCCCTACTACTACTTCTCCCCCACCCGCTAAACAGGCTGAGAAGCCATCGGCATTCTCTAATCTTTCATCTTTCGGCGGTGCCAAGTCTACCCCTGCTGCCCCGAAGGTCACATCGCCCTCGGGATCTGCGGGCGGCGACTTCTTTGATAGCTTCACTTCCCCGGCCATATCAGCCCCGAAGTCCCAGTCGCGAACAACTTCCGTCTCTTCTCATGGGCAAGATTTCGGATTCGGCGGATTTACCTCCCCGACTGCTAAGCCTAACCCTCCATCGTCGTCCCTGTCAAATGACCTGTTCGGGTTTTCTTCGCCTCCTCCTGCATCTGCCTCCACGGTTTCCCCCCCAAAGTCGACTGCAACCTCTCCTCAGCAGGAAATGAAATCTGCGTTTAATATTTCTGCTCCCTCGATGCAGCCTCCTGCCCCTCCTAGAGCGCCATCAGCGAGCGCTGCGAGCACAGCAGCAGCCAACATGATGTCTGGAAGCCTTGATCCATGGGGCGGGAACGCATGGAGCACACCTGATCCTGCCCCACCGTCTGGCCCTTCAGTACGATCGCCTGCATCCATGATGAAGGTACCTGACACCTTGACCCCGAACGACGTCGGCAACGGCTGGGGCGCGCCAAGTGCTGCTTCTAAGCCCGCACCCACGGTGGCAGCGGACGAGGACTTCGGCGGCTGGGCCAGCGCTGCCCCAGTCTCCAACCCTACCTCCACAACCACGAATAACAACAAGTCGTCTGGCGGATTTGGCGGATCTGACGATCTCTTCTCCAACGTTTGGGAGTAGAGTGTATCTTGGCAAAAGATCCACAATTCACGATTATCTTGAATTTCTAGGATCTGCATGATGATACCTGCGTATTTGCAAGCATAATTTCGCATTGCACATTGCACATACCGGTGTCCATCGTTTTTGAGATCCTTGCCTAGAATTGTTTTCTATGTCCTTTTTGCATCTTCCTCGTCATGGGCCCTTAGTCTCTGAAATGTGGGCGGCTTCTGAATGTACAATGGGCGGGTCTCATGCATACTGAATGATCAGCTCGTTTTGTTCGCTTCGACATATGTACACTTGTCTTTACAATGCATTCGTAATACCCTAGAGCTCGTGTTTAAAGAATTTGTAGCACTGAATGATCCTTTCTTTTACTTTTGATTTATCGGCCTAATACGCCGCTCACGTAACCTCCAATGCGATATTTCTGTCCACCCTTAACCTCGACATTCCTAGAACTGGGAATTCCACGGAGAACAAGAAGCTACTGCATGCGTGTCCGACGCAGGGCTCCTATCTCGACCAGCGACGTAGGACTGTGCAAGTAGTGGGAATATTTTGCTGGCGATGAAGCAATACTTTACGAAACCGCTCAAGGTTAAGATGCAAGACCCCAAAGGCACAATCAAGGGTACTGTACGAAACATAATAATGGGCCCATGTGCGTGACTTTAGAACTCGGAACTCCGTATCTGATGCCGAGAGACCCCTGCCTCTTAGCGCCATTCGTTTAACTTATCAAGCCTCCTTAGTAACGCCTCTCACGTCTTGGTCTCTTGATTTCTCAGCAACGCTTTGCGCTGCCGGCGCCCGCGTCTTACTTCCTCCCCTTCTCCAACGTGCTCCCCGAGTGCATTGCCCACGTCTTGTCTTGCTCCTGTCCTTTACCAAAAAGTCCAACAGTCCAGCTCATCTCAGCTTCCTAACAGCTTGTTGTATACTCCTGGATGCCCTTCTATTCCCAAAATGCCTCGCTGTTCGAGCAAAACAGCGAGCAGTTTGACTTCAACGTGGACTTTGAGCAGGTGTTTTTCTCCATCATCCCCTCTGCTTTCTTCATAGTACTCGCAGCATGGAGAATCGTCTCGCTTGCTCGGAGGCCCATCATCGTCAATGCTTCCGTCTTTCGACTTGTGAAAGTGGTATGCATCTTTACAGCCTCATTTCCCCCACAGCACCTTGCTGATGTTGTTGCAGGGTGCCATAACAGCGTATGCCGTGCTGCAAATTGCGCTCGTCATCCTAGCCGCTGCAGGTCACTTTCAGGCCACAGTCATGTTCATAGCGACCTCGGTCCTTAAGCTGCTGGCGGCTTTTGTCATGTTACCTCTAAGTGCTTTTGAGCACACTCGAGCCCCACGGCCGTCTATGCTGCTGATGGGCTATTTGCTCCTGACACTTCTTCTCGACGCAGCCCAGTCGAGGACGCTCTACCTCTCATCCACTGTGTCTATGGAGCGCGCCTATAGCAACCTCTTTACTGCTGCTGTGGCTGTCAAAGTTGTCATGCTGCTGCTAGAATCCCAGCAAAAGTCCAGATGGATTCACGCTCAATGGGACAAAAAGGAACATAGCCCAGAGGAAACAAGTGGGATCCTGTCCCTTGGTGTCTTCTTCTGGCTCAACCGCTTATTCCTGTCTGGATACAGCAAAATTTTGTCCGTCAATGATCTGTATCCCCTGGACGGCGCCATGGACCCGACGAGACTCCACGAGAAATTCTCTCGACATCTAGACATGGCCAAGATCAAGGGCGACAAGTTTGGTCTTACTAAGGTTCTCATGCGTACGCTTATAGGACCACTTCTCCTCCCTGTTATCCCCCGTTTGGCTCTCTTCGGCTTTTCGTTTGCCCAGCCACTTTTTATCGAGGGGCTCCTCGACTATCTCTCGCAGGATAAGCTTAACCCTAACGTTGGCTACGGTTTTATTGGCGCCAGCTTTTTCATCTACTCTGGAATTACCATTAGCTGGGCCTTCTACCGGTATGTCTTCAGCGAGTAGATTGTTTTAGGGGCCACTAACATATATACTAGGTACTATCATCATCGTACGCGCACTATGCTAAGATCTATCCTTGTCACTGAGACCTTTATCACGGCTACAAAAGCTAGCATCGGAGCCGACGATAGCGCTGCGCTGACCCTAATGAGCACCGATATCGAGCGAATCCAAATAGGCTTCCGACAACTACATGATATCTGGGCAAGTTTGATCCAGGTAGCGCTATGTGCTTGGATGTTAAATAGCAGACTCGGCGTTGTATTTGTCGTTCCTATTATCGTCGTGGTCCTCTGCTTCCTTGGGCTTGTTATTCTTATGAATTTCATCGGAACGGCGCAGAGGAGATGGATGTCCTTAGTACAGAAACGTGTTGGTCTAACGGCTACTGTCATTGCTAGCATGAAGAACCTGAAGATATCCGGTCTTTCTTCGTCTATGAGCACATTTGTGCATAACCTCCGCGTCGAGGAGCTTACGGCGGGAGTTCGATACCGCCAAATCTACATCGGGGCCGCGCTACTTGGCTTCATTCCGCTTCTCATCAGCCCGGCCCTAACGTTTGCATTTACACAGAATGGACATCAGCTAGACTCGTCGAAGGTATTCACAAGTCTCTCTTTCCTCGCCCTTATGACACAGCCTCTATCGCAGATTTTCCAGGCAATTCCGGAAGTCATCTCCGGTCTAGCCTGCATTGGCCGAATCCAGGCTTTTCTAGAGTGCGAGACTCGGGAAGACTTCCGCAAAGTTGTGGCCTCCTTCGAGAAAAGCTCCGAAAAGGAGTCGATAAACCGCCAGCCATCATCCGAGTTCGAAGTGATCATCGAGAATGGAAACTTCGGCTGGGAACAAAACAAATTCGTTTTGGAAGACATCAATGCTAAGATACCAAAGTCTTCGCTTACCCTTGTTGTCGGACCCATTGGCTCGGGCAAGTCTACGCTTTGCAAGGCCTTACTTGGAGAGATTCCTTTTCATCAAGGCAGAGTCACGCTACAGGCAAGGGATTCGGTCGGGTTCTGCGACCAGATTGCGTTTATGTTAAATGGAACCATTAAGGAAAACATTATCGGCTTCTCTCCGGTGAACGAGGGTAGATATGCTCAGGTCGTCGAGGCAACAGCTCTCGCCTTTGACTTTAACACCCTACCACAAGGCGATGAGACAAACGTGGGTTCCGACGGCATCTCCCTATCTGGAGGTCAGAAGAAGCGCATTTCCCTAGCACGCGCCCTATACCTACAGACTAACTTCCTTATACTCGATGACGTCTTTAGCGGCTTGGATGCGGAAACCGAGGAGCAAGTCTTCCGTAAAGTCTTTGGACCAGAAGGACTGTTGAAACGCCGCCAAACCACCGTATTACTCTGCACGCACAGCGTTCGACATCTACAGGCAGCAGACTACGTTATCGCCCTTAAGGGCGGTAACATTAGCGAGCAGGGCACATTTAACGCACTGATGGCTGGTGATGGCTACGTCAGCCGTCTGGGTTTGAAGATCCTAGAAAGCCAGGCGACCTCGGAGGAAGTGAGCGTCGAAGATAGCGCACAGGAATCTTCGTCGCCAGTGGATGACATAAAAGCGGCCAAGCTTACCGTTGCCCCTAATATGGACGCGTCACGGCAAGTCGGAGATGGCACCGTCTATAAGCAGTATATGAAAAGCATGGGATGGCTGCTCGCAGGGTCTGCAGTCTTTTTTGCTGTGCTCTGGGGCTTTTTCTTGAACTTTTCCACCATCTGTAAGCGCTACACATATCTGAATACGAGATTCATTCCGAAGGAGAGCCTTTGGAAGCTAAGGACATACCGCAGGGCTCACGTACTGGGTTAACGACGTAAAATCACAACACCCAGCGCACTTATTCGCTTACTGGGCCGGAATCTACGCGCTTTTCCAGGTCGGTGCATTGATCTCGCTATTCCTCCTTGGCACCTCCATTTGGATCGTCTCCATCAAACGCGCAGGCGCAAACCTACATGAGGACATTTTGAACACGCTATTCCGAGCACCACTCCGCTTCTTCACTGAAACCGACATCGGCATCACAACAAACTTGTTTTCACAAGATTTGAATCTCATTGACACGGAGCTGCCAGATGCCACCGTGAGCACACTGTTCTCGGTAAGCTAACCTATGATAAGCCATTCAGGGGACCTGAGTCTAGCAGCTAACACGCATGGATAGATCACACAAGTCGTTGGGCAAATGGCTGTTATGCTCACGTCGTCTCCCTACCTGGCTGTCGCCTTCCCGTTCCTAGCCGCCCTGCTGTACGTGCTGCAAAAGTTTTACCTGCGCACCTCGAGGCAACTTCGACTGCTTGACCTAGAAGCCAAGAGCCCGCTATAGTAAGTGAATGGGAGCATATTGGAGCATATATTCACTGCAGTTGCTGACACACGTTTAGCACGCACTTTCTTGACATTGTTAAAGGCATCACAACGTTGCGGGCATTCGGTCAGTACTAATACCACACCTCCTGCACATTCATTTGATATGTTGCTAACTCAATGCACATAGGCTTTATCCACAAAGATGTCCAGAAGAATGCCCGCCTTCTCACCTCGAGCCAGCGACCTTCGTATCTTCTTCTCATGATCCAGGAATGGCTGAATGTCGTTCTCGACGTGGTGGTCATGTTGTTGGCAGTAGGGTTAACAACATTTGCCGTGCGCTTCCATTCTAACTCTGCTTTCGCCGGTGCCGCTCTCTACAGTCTTTTGAGTTTTGGCGAGAACCTGACCGGTATTGTTCTATTTTGGACTAAACTTGAAACCTCGCTTGGTGCAATTGCTAGACTGAAGACATTTAACGAGACCGTTAAGCCCGAAGACAGAGATGAAGAGGATACCAAGGCACCCGAACAGTGGCCCCAGCGTGGCGTGGTGGAATTAAAAGGCGTTTCGGCAAAATATAAGTAAGGATTGTAAACCACCTGCTAAAATAGTGCTAACTATATTATTAGCGCTGAAGATCAGGACGACGCGGCCACAAGCCTCGCTCTCCGCGATATCCACCTTAGTATTAACCCCGGAGAAAAGGTTGCTATTTGTGGTCGTACCGGTAGCGGCAAATCCAGCCTGGTCGCTCTACTTCTAAAGCTCCTCGATCCAATATCCACCACGGCGGAAAATATCATGATTGACGACCTACCGCTCCATCGGCTAGACCGATCCGTTTTACGCCAGCGCATCATCGCAGTGCCACAAGAGGCGGTATTCTTACCGGACGGATCTACGGTTCAAAACAACCTTGATGTTGCCGAGGAAGCCACCTCCGAGGAGTGTAAGGCCGTGCTTAAATCCGTCGGCTTATGGGACTTTGTCGAGGGACGTGGCGGTTTAGTCGTAGGAATGAATGCCTCAAGCTTTAGCGCTGGACAGCGGCAGCTACTCTCATTTGGTCGAGCCCTTCTTAAACGCTCGGTTCGAGAGCGCAAGTTTGGGGCCGCCAGTCAGCTCGGCGGCATCCTACTTCTGGACGAAGTGAGCTCAAGCGTGGATCAAGAGACGGAACGCATCATGCAGGAGACTATTAGGACCGAGTTCAGGAATTACACAGTGATTGCGGTGAGTCATCGATTGGATATGATTATGGACTTTGATAGGGTGGTGGTTATGGATACTGGCGAGATTGTGGAAGTGGGCAGGCCAGTCGTATTGGCGCAAGAGGCTGGAACCAGGTTTGGGGATCTGGTAAGAGCAGGAAACAAGTAGATCTGATGGCGTCGATGCAAAGTTATCGTTGAAGTAAGGGGATAGCAACACGTTTGGAATTTAAATTTGTCTGGTGCAATGTGTATTTCTTGCTTCTTCGGTTCTGTTTTTGCTAGGACCACAACTGCATAGTCTTTGCTGAGGGGTGGTGGGATACTACAAGAATGTGGCCGTGTTGAGCGCAGCTTTAGTGAAGTTGCAGGACGAGTTAAGAATCTCCAGGTCGTAGCAGTCCATATGCGGAAGGGTCTGGGGGTGCCAGTAGCTGCAACACGGACATTAGGCAAGAGCCCAAGGATCTTCTCAACCCTAACAATTGCGCCCTCGGCAATCTCTGTTGTCTGTAGTCCTCAACGAAGCCGGCAAAGTCGGTCTCCACATCAAAGTTATAGGTATGGTAGATAAGTGAAAGGGAAGACCAGATAAAAAAAATGTAAAAAATAAATATGTAAAAAGAATGAACTCGTTAAACCAACCCAAATCATTACAGGTCAAAAGCTATGCTTTTTCACCAATCCCTTCGTACTACCCATATCATCATTAACAGCAGTATTCGAATGCGAGGTCGTCTCCTGCGTAACATTGGTCGTGACTGTGATGCCCGCAAAGACCTCCTTCGCAGGCTCCTTAGTGTAGCTATTGAAGGAGCCAGATGGCGAAATATCTTCCAGATCGTGGTCGTATTCTGAGCCATGATCACGCCCGCCAACGACGGAGGCTAGGACTTGTGTGTTGCCGTCGCCTGTGAGGGCGCTGCGGCCGATTCGCGAAGGTCGCGTGGCCTTGCTGCGGTAGCCGTCGCTTCGGGTGGAGAAAATGTGCGGCAGGAACTTGGAGAGGAAGGCGCGTGTGCCCGGGAGACAGGCGCAGATAATAGCTACGTTGCACTCGACGGCAGACCAGGTTGCTGCGCCAACGTTGTCGTCTGGGGGTTGTTTGTTAGATTTAGCTCGTGGGTAAGGGGTATGTGTGGTTAGTCCTTACAGGTTGGGTCGTTTGAGTCGGAGATAATGAGGAGAGATTTGAGGCGGAGGATACTTGTGATCAGGACGCTGGGAGCATGACTGTTAGCATCATACATGATTGTCAGATGGAGCTGGACCTACAATCCACCTAACGCGAAAACAGCCATGAGAGCAAACTTTTGCCTCGAGGGCAGTTGAAGCGATTTCAGGACTGGCATTGGGTATACGAGAATGACAATGTCGGTAATAATGTGGATAGCCGAGTTGGAAAACCACAAGGCTTTCTTATCGAAACAGAATCCTGGAACAGTCGGATCCCAAAACTTGGCGAGAGGAACACAGTTGGCCCAGGCGCTAATGATGGTCCAGGTTCCGTAGACGCCTAGAACAACGATCATGAGCCAGCATGCTAGGCGCATGCGTGGTGTGGAGAAGACGCGTTTGTATTGGAGAAGGATTGACATCTTTGTGCTGATGAGGCTTGTTTGATATATGGGAACTGAAGCCCAAAAGTACTGTAAGAGAATCATGTTAATAGAACTGCACTGTATTGGAGACATGTTCTGCTGAGATGGAGCGTACGATCATCTGAGCTTTGTAGATTGAGGCGGGGATATCGTTATAGTGTTCGCCCATGCCGTGGTAGACTTCGCCTACCATCAGGCCGAAGAAAATCCATGAGAAGGTCAGAGAGACTAGGATGACATAGTCGTCCGCTCCCATCTGCTTCACGAGAAATGCTCGCGTAAATATACGGACGGCAGTAATGAATGTCGCTACAGTCGTAAACACAGTGCTGACGGCGAGGGCCTGGTGACCGCGGGAGGTTGATAGTGTTGTCATCGTGTCATAGAGGCGTATATAAATGAGTGAAGGCCGAATTTCGTGCACAAATTATGACTCTGAATAGGAGGGTATTCAATGCGCTGAAAGAGAGATCGCAAAGTTCCTCTATTGACTTATAGTAGATATGAACGCCACTTTGTCAATGCTCGAGACGAAGTCTCCCGGGATCACGGTGTGGGGGGAATGGCCCGCTTCTTAATACATATGTACGAAAGAGGGATCAAAGACTTAGGGCTTTTAGGCAAAAAAAAAAAAATTCAAGAGAAAGCCAAGAGAAACACGAGATCCTCTCCACCCGGTTTTAACGATCACCATTCAGCCACCGAGCTAGAGCAATAGACTATTTAATTTTTGAAGAGAGATTGACATTTGTCCCGTTAACCTGATCATCAAACTCACGAAGCGTTAGTCCGAGACTCTGGTGATTAGTAGAAACCCGAAACTTTGTGATGATCAGACTTGCATATCTTTCTTATACGAGGTCGCTAGGATTTGGGAACAAAAATATATATTTATATATCCAAATTCGGCATAGTCTCCACATATGAACTCTGTTATCAAACATACAGCCCCTGATTTGTTGGTGCCAAATTTGATCCATGGTAGTCGGACTAAAAACCCACGGCGTATCCATAATAGGAATCTGCCCTAAAGTTTACAATGGCACTAGATGCGTGTCCCCCAAAACGTGGGAATAATTGCTTTTTTTTTTTTCTGGGAATTGCCTCACGCACAAGCCAACCCGAGATCATGACCCTGAAACTGGACTATATCGTAGAGTGGTAAGCCAAGCACACTAGTTTAAAATCCACTTTGGATATTTTACCCAGAACGTGGGTTAGCCTCGTGCTTTTGCTTTACTGGAGGATATTTCACAATCTATCCACATTTCCCTCGGCGGTTCATGATGTACGGTTAAATACCATTATCGGTGTCCGTGAAATCAATAGTGTCAAATAACCCCGTAAAAGTCCAACGAAACATTGGGCAATAGTCCGAGTGGGGGCAACTGTATTGTTCCTGCGATCTGCAAACGCCTCTGCAGCCCATTTTTGTACCTGCGCAATCCTACACCCCGAGCTCCATCTCGGGGAGTTCGGGGATATCTCATTGAATATTTGAATATTCACTGCCTTCAACACTGATTAATTCCTATGGCGTTATCTGGTGAAATCGAAAATTCAGGGGATTCAACGCTGATCTAAATCATGCTGATCTAAATGTACGCCCCTTGCCCCTCTTCTCCGAAAAAATGCCGTGTGCACGGTGTCGGAGAATTTGAATCGACGACACAGAGCATTGATAGATGATGCTAGCCCCCGATCATCTACATTGTGATCCACTCATGCAAATTTATCCCCTGAAAAGTCGTCTGTAGAGTGATAAGCGCCGCATCTCTACTCCCCGTGTACTTCGTACTATTATTCTCATTCCGGCCCTTTTATAGCTGACTATTATCCTTCCGGCCTTTCTACACATCAACCAGAAATCTTTCTACAGGGTAACTGAAACATTAAGAATGGGGGGACAGATCTGAAAAAAAGCACCCGAAGAAGGCATCGGGATGTTAAAGTGTCCTTAATGCCATTGATGTTTCTCTTGGGAGCATCCGATGTACCACCTGCGGTATTGTCTCGACTCGGCCTTGGGCCGCAACACACACATCCCCTGATGCGCTCACTGAGTCCCTTATGTCCACAATCTTCCGGGTATGGATGAGTGGTAGAAGGGTGGAAAATTGTATGGAAAGTGAAGAAAAGTTGTGAACGGGGGGATATATAAAACTGTAGGACAGGCCCCGGGGAGGCTCTTTCCTTGGGTGATATCTAGAAAGGCAAAGTATGACTTCATTGGCAACTCTTATTATATAAGATTACTGTGCCTAGGTCTTAGCTTTAGCATCCATTCTTTTGATATGAATTTGACGAAGATATCAGAGAATGTAATAATTCGACCTTTGATTGGCCAGGAACATTTAATGTGGATCGATAGCTTTCGCGGGGGGCAAAGCAGGAGTCAAGGCAGAACCTCCTATGCAAAGGCCTTGGATCGTCGACACGGATAGATGTACATTGAATTATCCAATTCACCTCAAGTCCATTTGCCCATCCAGATCAATTGGGTCTGCGCAAAATAATGGCCGATCCCGTGGGCCAAGCCGGGACAATCCACTCACGGTCTTCCGCACCACGGGTCCGCCTCACCTGCGAAGCATGTCGTCAGCGCAAAGTGAAATGCGACAAGTCAAGTCCTTGCACAAGCTGTCAGCGACTTGGCCTCGTGTGTGTTCCTGTGGAACGTGCGCGTCTGCCGCGCGGTCGCACGCGAAAATCCGAGCGGATCGTAGGCTCGGATAAAGAACTATCTGAGCGGGTAGCGAGACTCGAAAAACTGCTGAAAACAGTCGCCAGTGAGCGAGAAAATGAATTACAGCTTTCTTCGACTGTCCCCGCGCCTGCGTATCCATCCAAGCAGGAGTCGGCGACAGAGGCTAGCAGCGCGGGTCCTGATATCCGGCAAGATCACAATGACTATTTGCCCGGTGCAGGTCAGCCACATCTTCCTCGCCCTGCAACTGCGTATGTGGGGGGTTCCTTTTGGGAGGATATTATGCAGCAGGTGAGCTTGGTAAAGCCATGATCTGCGAATGTTTTTAACTAATATCCTAATCACTAGACCCAAGAATTGCGCAGTGTCCTGGAAGGTCGTCTAGAAAATGAAGATCACAATGTTAAAGATTCGGCATCTGGTTTTGGCACATCGCTTGTGAGCTCAGAAAGCCCCGAAAGCTCGACGAGCTCACCTCAAGCCAACAAACCATTAAATCTTCAACCCCAAATCCGACACAGGTTATGTGACATTTTCTTCCACAATGTCGATCCGCTGTTCAAAATTTTACACCGACCGTCGCTACAAGCATTTCTTAAAGAAGGCAAACCTTATCTTGACTATGAGCAGGATCACCAGGCGCCAGCCACCCTTGCTTTGGCTATGTATCTCTGTGCTGTATGCACACTGGACGAAGTGGAATGCCAATCAATGTTCAACACGAGCAAAAAGATAATAGTCGCAGAATTTCAGAAAGAAACTGAGCTCGCGCTTGCAAGGGTAGACTTTGTCACGACAAACGATCTCACTGTCCTGCAAGCTTATATTATCTCTCTGGTGAGTACGACTACATGTTTTCTCGTCTTTCTTGCCCCTTTATCTTAATACCAGAACCTAACCTGAACGCTTCTAGCTCGCCGCGAGATGTCAAGACCAAAGCCGAAGGGTTTGGACCATGTTGAGCATGGCACTCCGAGTCGGCCAGGCATTATCTCTCCACGTGCGCCAGCCCCCATTCACAGTACGCCCTTTTGAGTACGAGATGCGCAAACGAGCATGGCTAGGGATTGGCCTTCTCGATGTGGCAGCCTCTTTAGACAGGGCATCCGAGCCGATGATGCAATCCGCATGGCTCGATTACAACCTACCGTCGAATATCAACGACGAGGACCTATGGTTCGACATGCCAGGGCCAATTCCTGAACACACGGAAGGAAAATTTACCGACATGACGCACACCTTGGTTATCGCAGCGTCAGCGTCCGTGACCCGAACCCTTGCCTTTTCGGACCTCAGCGAGCCAGCCGTGACCATCATGAGCTTGCGGCAGCAAGTCGTCCACGATTTCCAACAAAAGGCATCAGACCTTCTCAGCGGCTGCAGGCCTGATCTATCGGACTTCCAGTGGTACGCGCAAAAGACAGCGGGGGTTATGGGTAGCTGGCTGCAACTGGCGTGTCTCCGGCCGCTCAAGCGAAGCCGGGACTTCATACCCCCGAAGATCCAAGAGAACGTCCTCCTCAAAATCGCAGCCGATAACCTGCATTGGTCGCAGGAGGCATACGACTACCCAGGCGCCGCATCTTGGCGATGGTACGGCTCTATGTGGGTTCCATGGCATGCATTGGCTGTGGCCCTTGCCGAACTCTGCGTCTGCAAAAGTCCCGCGGTGATGTCAAAATACTGGACCGTTGTTGATGAAGTTTACCAGCGCTCGCGGTTCATAATCGCCGATTCTCAGCACGGGATGCTCTGGAGGCCTTTGGAGAGGCTCATGTCACAGGCTAAAACGCGGAGAATCGAGCTTCTCGGCATTGATACTTCTCGTCAACCAGTGTCTCAATACCATTTCGATGGTATGTCTTCCGAGTTATTAAAACAACCTGAACTTCAACAGGGTCTCACGGACTTTTCGCTTGGGTTGGGAGAGGCCATCAATGAACCGCAAGAGTCGCAAATCGCAGAGGTGCCGACTTCCTTTGCGCCGGTGCCCTGGCCCAATGTGTGGGATGCGATGGATCTTAGTAACCCGGCCTTGCAAAGTAACTCTGATGACACGGCTTGGCTAAGTTATGAGAACTTTATTGAGAATGTTTACGATAGCGTTGATTCCATTTTCTTGCCGCGGTGAACAACACGTTTGGGGAGCTAGTGAAGGGGGGGCCTGGATGGCACAGAGATACCCAAGGAACCATGTCCAGCAGTCATGTACATAAAAAAAAAAATCTCCACTCGTGTCATACCAAATAGACGCTTTGTATGAGTTTAATAGAATAAAATAAACATCTCCACCGCGGGCGATCCTGCAACTCAGATGGCTCTAGCCCGCACCTTTCAATTATAATACAAACTCGGCTCGTATCCTTCTATGGAACATCTGGCTCCTATCTTTTCACCTCGGATAGCCGACGGAAGACGAGAGAGCATGGAGTCATTCAATCCTCCAAATTCCAACAGTACAGTTCTCTGAGCATGAAGCACGCCGGCATCGTTTCGGAATCTGAGCCGACTTATTCACCAAGGACATTTTGAGTATTGCATTCAGAGTGTGTCATACCGTAAAGAAGATATGTATACCATTTGGCTCACAATCAAGGAGTGATTGTATGCATGATCCCGCATGGCACTAGACTTGGTTGATTGTTGGCATTTCTAATCAACCTAAACCAAGTCTACCGTGTCGAGCAACAAATTCCCTATTGAAAGGATAAAGGGTTGCAGGGCCAAGGTCCCAACTCGACTCGTCAACTATCGGGGCATCATTTGTACCCGAACTTTCGGCGGGGGTCTCTAGTAAAGCCTGCGACGTGGATGGCAAGGGAAGTTCGTCGGATATGGATGGCAAGGGTGCTTCGTCGCCGAGAAGACGTTCATATGTGCACTGTCTTTCTCTTTGGGTGCATTCAGCACACGGCATTTTCCCACTACAGGCTTTCCTGAGGCTTGCACAACTATCACAGGCACGTTTGTGTTTCCCACCGCGCTCCGGCTTGGGGATTGTATGGCCACCGTCTATACGGGCCTTGCACGATTTCCAATGTCTCCGTAGTACATCTCTGGGTGGATTTTGTCAGCACACATGACGGGGTGACATATCTTTGTTCGGGAGTGATGGAAGGTGACATACCCTCGGCTGAATGCAGAGCTGCAAAATAAACAGGGGTGGCTTTTCACCGTGTGGTCTGTAGGAAGTCATTTACTGTATCGATTCCGACTATCGTTGGAGACATACGACACAGGGCATGGCGTTTCATGTGATCTAATCGCTGGAAATTGGAGGGACATTCTTCACATTTCCACATCTTTAGACCGGTTCCGGTCTCGGGTTTGCGTACTTGCTTCATGGTTGGCGTCGGTTTAATAAAAGGCCCCGAAAAGCAACCGAGGCTGTGGATCTCTCGTGGATGATTTGTCGGGCTTTAAAGGTTCAAGTGGGTGTATCCCGCCAAGATACCCCGGATAAGACTAAAATTGAATGTGCAATCCGGGATTCACAGTCAGTTGCGGACTTGGCGCGGCTCGAAGTGACGATGATGAGCGAGACTCGGTAATTCGACGTTGGCGATTGGCGAGGGAAAGGGAGAAGTCGGTTGTGTAATTCAGCCCGTCGCGATTCCCCCGCTAAAAATGACGAACCCGAAACCTGATAGATACAAGTCTGTTTTTTAATGAAGTGGAAAATATATAAAGGGTGAATTGTCAGAGGCAAAAAAAAAAGTCATATTAGCCTGAAACATTAGCCAACAATTTCAACCTGCCAAAACAGACCCCAACACAGATCTATCACCTTGAAAAGAAAATGCCTTCCGCAACAGTCATGGAGATTGATACAAATGAAGATCATTACAATAACTGGCCTAATGACAAAGGTGTAAGTGGAATTGCGGACATCTTGAACTATACAACTTGCTAATCCCTGTTAGTTCGATCCTGAATACGAACAGCGCGAGCCGGTTGAACTATCTGTGGCAGGACAAATTCCTACATATGCCGCTGGAACTCTATACCGTACAGGGCCAGGGAAAAGCCAACTGAAAACTGAGAATGGAGAAACACTACGGCTCTCCCACTGGTTCGATGGATTCGGTCAAACCCATCGTTTCCAGATCTTTGCTCCAGAGGGCTCTCATACTTCGCCTCGGGTTTTCTACAACTCTCGCTTCTCAACTGATGATCTGATCGAAAACGCAAGAAAGACGGGGTCTCTAGATACGTTCAGTTTCGGACAGAAACGTGATCCTTGCAAGAGTGTCTTGGGCAAAGTCCAGAGTGAATTTGTCCCACAACCCACTCCGTCGAGTAGGAACATATCTGTCACCCTTTCAATCAACGTCCCCGGCCTCGACTCTAAGACCGATGAATCGACTTCTCGCTGGGGCGATTCTCAAGGAATTAGAACTCTCTATGCAAAGACCGACTACAATGCCTTCAAGAAGCTCGATCCAGAAACCCTGGAGCCCATCGGCCTGGCCTCGCAGGCTACCCTGCACCCTGAACTGTCGGGACAACTCTCTGCATCTCATGCACGATCGGACCCTATCACGGGAGATATGTTCAATTACAATCTCACGCTAGGACCAACCTGTACATACCGTGTCTTCAAGGTCTCGGCTTCAACGGGGGAAACCACAATCCTTGCAACTTTCCCCACGACACCAGCTTATCTTCACTCCCTTCTCATCACGGAGGACCATGTTGTGCTATGTGTGTGGAACGCGCACATAAATCCACAACGGTTGGACTCCTCGTTCATGGAGTCAATCTTGCCAACAGACCCAAGTCAGCCAGCAGTGTGGTATGTCATTGACCGTAAGCACGGCAAGGGGTTGATCGCAACATACGAAAGCCCTGCATTCTTTTCCTTCCACACGGTCAACGCATGGCTCGAACCCTCAAAGGCGAATCCTACGGAGATGGATATCATCGCAGACGTTGTGAGAACCGACAGCTCTGAATTTGTGCAGTCTGTCTATTATGAGAACTTGATCTCTTCATTGGATACGGCCAAGACCTTCCAGAAGAAGAGAGACGATTCTTTCCGTACATCTTTCACCCGGTTCCGCCTTCCTGCCGTGCCTTCCACTCCATGCACCGATCCCAAGAAAGCAACAGTCGAGTGGTCCGTTTGCAAATCGATGTCGCCTGAGCTGCCAACTATGAATCCGAAAATAGTCACTCAGAAACACCGATATGTCTACGCTGTGACCTTCCGTGGAGAGTCAACTCTGACAGATGGTATCATGAAGCTCGATTGTGATACCCAGCAAGTTCAGCTCTGGGCATGCCACGGACAATCGCCCGGTGAGCCCATTTTCGTCGCTAATCCCGAGGGGACCAGTGAGGATGATGGTGTACTACTCAGCGTGGTTCTCGACGGAATGCATGGCAAGAGTTATTTGCTCTGCCTTGATGCACGTAGCTTGGTGGAAATTGGCCGAGCAAATGTTGATGGGGCTGTTGGGTTTGGATTCCATGGACAGCATGTCCCGGCTGTGGGTGGGATGCCTACGGGTGACTACTGAGTGTGAACGCCTTTTTATCAAATTCGATAGTCTAGTCTTGGCTTCTTGGCTTTCTCAACTCTTACATCAATTTACATTCCACCATGTACTTCGATGTCTCGTTTTAGTAGACTTCTCCTAAAATCATATATTTTCATTTATTTCAGAATGAATAAAATGCACACTATATTAAAGATTGCGAGGCCGGGTTTCCAACTGGGGTCTATTCTCACGAATAGATACTTGCATATTTGAGTTTCATTATTTGCCTATCTACTAGGTTGATTATATATTTACGTCTTGCAGAACGCGAAGTCCTTTTCACCGAACAACCTCCAGAGCTTCTTGTATCCATGCAATCCCTCGACCATGACCAAGCCGATTCCGTAAACTATCAACCACAATCCCAAGCGCAGGGCTGACTGATAACGGCCGTGCTAGCAGCGTATCATCCATCAAAAAGTATTCCACAGATTGACAGACCCGACGTGCTGGTACATATTGGAAAGACCCGACCAAAGCATCGTCCGCGTTGCCCACAGGAGCATCAGTGTAGCAGCAACCTGGGCGTTTCGGAAACAGAAAACGAGTTGCTACTCCAACCATCTCATAAGCTGAGCCTTATATGTTGCGTTACAACACTGGGTATTTATTCAATCAAAGCTAACGAGGACCATAACTTGGCAAGTAATGCTGACTTAGTCAGATTAAGTTTGGGGGCTCTAGGTGGAGGCAGTGGAGCCACCTCGAGCCAATAAGATATCCAAACCTTGATAGCTCCCGACGCTAAACCAAAAAAGGTGCTGATCTTGCGAGAGCATCTATACAGAGGATTTCAGCACAGCCGGGTTATTTTTAAGGAAAATCGAGGAAAGACTGCTCATAGGAACGAATCCTGATATCCCGCAACTTTGAGGTCAACATTGAAATCAACATGTTGGGCAGTCACTCAGAATTAAGTATCGCACAGATCGTGTTCTATATACCGGTAACGGTCATTGCACTTTATCTCGCATGTTATCGGCACAAGCGACCTCGCATGGCATGGATTATCCCTGACTTTCTTTTCCCTCGGTAAGTATCTTCCTACAAAACTCTCAACTTGAAGGTTCTATATCTGGCATCTCTAACATAATTTGATGTCAGTTCGTATCACTGCGGGTATCTTGGTGATCATCGCACAGAAGTCTTCCAGTACTGGCGTGATGGCTGCTTCAGTCATATTGCTCAATGCTGGCGTGTTCCCCTTGATCACAGCAACTTTAGGCTTTATTCGAATCATGTAAGTTGGCGCCGTGAATTCCATGCCAATATCCGTCATGAATCGCCAATCTAATACACTACAGAGTGGCTCTCGAAAGAGAGATGAGCCGCCAAATTCGGCTATGTTTAGTCGTATCCCGAGTCCTTTTTTATCGTCCGGATCGGACTTACCGTTGCAGGTGGAGCTCTAGAAGGGAGCGACACTAACAGCGATGTACTTATTGGCATTAAACTTGTTAAATCCGGATACATCATCGTGGTGGTCTTTGTCGGGTGTTTACTTGTCATGTAAGTATATTTCTGGACACAACGCTCGAGTCTCTCGATTACAAGCAGAACGGTTCGCAGACCCCATACGTCTACTTTTTCAAGGCTAATATATTCTAAGATTCTCAACGCTACGGCTCTGGCTACACCATTCATAGCTGTTCGGATCGTATACCTCTTTTGTCTGTATTCCAGCCATCCGATTTTAGGTGGAATGATTTGAGTGGCCTAGTTGCCCCATTCTTGGCCATGGGGCTGGCTGTTGATGGAATATTCTGTTGTTTCGATCTACCTTGTCACGGGTTTCATGATTCTTAGTTGGAGGAATATCCAAAAGCCAGATATCCTCTTGAGTGAAGCAACAAGATGACGCAGCTGTTGGGCTATAAGGACTCGAGGATAGGGCTTGTGTCATCGGCTTCTGCTTCATTGGAAGCGATCCAGGCATACTGTTTCCCATTTTTAAATGAAAACATAGAGTTCTATATGAATTACCATGTTAATCGTTATAATTTCTTTCGGGCTTGGTTCAACACATTTAAGCACGTAAAAGTAAAACGAAAGAAAGGGTGAATTAAATGAGCCTCGGTATACTAACTAATGAATCTCGAATTTCTATCCTAAGAAACGCCGGGAAAGTCAAACATCAGCCATCCCATACCTATACCTAGGTAGTAATGCAACTCCACTCTTCGGGGGCCTTTTTGCGTGCGAACTTAGGTTTAGATCAAAGCGACAAGCCATTAAAAACAAAGCAGAAACAAGAAAACACCGCGGATATGGCCCTGGCTCTTAGATATTGTACACTTAGACAAGATGGAGGACCTGGAGACCAGAAAGACGGTGAGAACATGAATAATCAGGGTATTAATCGTACAGAGATATTGATTCATGAGAAAAGAAAAAGAGGTAGTTGCGACATCAGAAAACATGTAATAGGAACTTTAATAGTCTACCTCTTTCTCAATCACCATAATCAACTCGGTAAGCTCCTTGCGCAGCGCACGGTTTCGGTCCCAGACTTCGACGATCTTGGGGCGCTGGCTGGTGAAGCAGGCCTTCTTCCAGGGAAGACCACCGTATTTCGATGTGGTCCGATTCGGCAGGCCCCGGGCGATGTTGCGCAACACCAATGCAGCTTTGTAGGCCACGCCGAATGGCTCGCCCTTTTCATTGATCGGAGTATCCATATAGTACCATTTACGGACGATTCGCTCTTGGAGAACCACGCGCTTGGCGGTTGTGGGCTGTGCGTCCGCGGGGCGATCTTCAGGCAAATGCGACGAAACGTGGCCGGCGACCATGGATGTGTTGGCGCTGGGCCCAGATGCTCGGAATCGCGAGCAGTGGTCCCATTGGCAGGTGTGGATGGGAGTGTCTGCGGGATCAAGCTTATACTGGCCGGGAGTGTCTGTGGGTTCCAGGTTCATATGGTCACCGAAAACATGATTCCGGAGATCTGTCGGAGATGTGAATGCACGCTGACACATCTTAGAAGGCTTTGAGTTGTCTGCCCATCTGCAGTAGGAATAAGGGAAGCCCTCAAATGTGTGAGCGGTTTCTAAAGGTCGGATGCCCTTGATAATGAATTTGGTGGCGGTGCCAGGGCCGTTGATGACCTGTGCTTGAGCGTTTGTGAATGTGTTGCTGACATTCTTGATGAACTCTGCAGCGGGAAGAACACCCCCTCCAGTGACACGAGGGTCTGCGAATCGGCTTTGGTAGGCTTGCCATAAAGCGATCTGTGTGATCTCACATTCTGAATCCTCGATGAAGCAGCAACGCAGCCATTGGGAGCTTCGTTCCGGCTCGGATAGCTCCATCAGCTTTTCCAAGAGCTCGGGGGATACACGAGGAATATCAGTGGGCGGAGGTGCGACTTTTTCTTCCTGAAGAACAGTTTCCTTTTTGGTAGGCCGTGCTTCATAAGTTAAAAGTGCGACCATGCGAGGAACAAAGACGATTGGGAAATTGACCACATCCATCAATGTCTCGATATTGTCATGACTGAGCGTGTATTGATACCAAAAGTCCAGTGCACCACTCAGAATATCCTTGTCGAGGTCAAGAAGAGTGTGATAGTACATCTGCTGGAGAGTTGGTTTGGTCAGGGTTTCCATGGCCCGGTTCGCATCCGCATCGTCCAGCTCAGTGCCGAAGTGTGTCAAGGCCCAGAGGGCCCGCACGACGTGGGCGCGGTCTGGGGAATCAAGACAATTCACCAAAGAAATCCACAGCGGATCTTCAGGATCAGTCCGCAAGAACTTGGTGACCTCCTCGGCGATATCTAGCGCATCGTTTTTGATTTCATTGAGTCGAGGTTGATTGGGGGCATTGATCAAGATAACCAAAAAGTCACGCAATAGACCATTTGCATACCGTGACACATAAAATGCGTTCTCCTTCAGAAGCACCATGTTTCTCAACACTAACGTGGCCTCTTTGATGTTTCTCAGTCGATGATTGAATTCGTATGTCTCAAGGCTGTCGTCTGGGAGGTTGACTGGGATTTTGCTAATTTTGTCCAGAATATCCCGGGTTCCATGTAGCGAATTGAGCACGTTGACACGGTCGATGGGCTTCCGAGGATCATACTGGAATTCCCACTTCACCCCCGTGCAAAGTTGTGTGATGTCAAGTGCTTTCTGCATCAAAGTTTCCGCAAGCAAGGGAAACCCTTCAAATTTGAATTTATCCCATCGTTGATTTGAAATTTGGACGAGGTGGTACAGCGCAAAGTCGACTTCGTCTGGAATACCTGACTGCAGACCGTAATGGGCGCGTTTGTAGATGTGATCCGCTAAAGAACACAAGACCGTCAGTATTTCTAGTCAATTCATGGGATGCAGGAATATTTACTCCTTGGAACCTCGAGATATCTCAGTGGGAAATAAGGGTCATAATAATCCAATTGCCGTGGCATTTTCGAAGGGTCACGCAGATGGGCAAAGATGACCGGTCGGTTCCCTGGGGTCGGCACTTCCCTCGTCGACATGGGAACCTGTCGGCTGTCTTTTCCTTCCCAGCTATCGACCGCGAACTGCGTGCTCTGGGGATTGGCGGCGGGATTGACATTCACATGATGAGGGCTGGTTGATGGCTGTGGTGATGTGAGCCCATGATGGATGTGTGATCGACGGGCAGGGGTTGTATCGGGGATGAAGGGTTGGTTGATTTTTGGAGCATGGCGTAAGCCCTCTGTGGGTGGTGTTAGTACAGATACCACACCTGTCGGCTGAGAGATGGTAGTCTTACGTCGCAGCGAGGTGCGAGGGGTAGAGGCAGACATTGTACTGTTGAATGCGCGACAGCTTTGCGCCGTTCACGTTTTCAAATGCACGGGGTGGTTCGGTCCTTGCAGCGGATAAGACCGACAGCCTGACCTCGAGGAGTGGAGGGTAAATCAGGGATATGGCCTTCTAATCTCAAGATCGAAAACTTTGAAGGTGCGACTCGGGAGATGTTGCCCTTGATACGTCTTTGTTTCCAAACTAATCGAGCAGGAGAAATTGCAGGGGCGTCAATCTGGCGACTTCGTTCGGATTCTGAAAGGTCGAAGTAGAAAGTCAATACAACTTTGATTCTGGCCGCAAGAGGTGATAGCGACGGCCAGTGGCTGTGACTCGGGCTGAGTTGCAGTGTTCGCGCGTTTGAATGTCGGAGCACTGGATGCGACGATGAAGAAAGCAAAGTGCTCAGCAGCAACAGCAGTTGTAAGGCAGTAGTAAATTTGCGCGGAGGCGATCAAAATCAACGATAGGTTTCAAAAGTAAAATAATTGTCAATGCCTTGCGGCCCTGGAGGGCTAGAGCTGGGCTTGCGATCAACGGCACTGATCAGCCAAAAGTCCGCGCTTCTCCAGGGCGCGTTGTCGGATTATTGATTGTTCCGATTGATGATTAAGGCATGCCACTGTGTTTGATTTTGATGCCTCAGGCAACCGAATTTCTGAATAGCGCCAACAGCAGCAATAAAGACAGACTGATTGTCTCATTTTCCAATTTGAAAGGATTCAACTAACCAAAATCACGGTTTTGATTGATTGTCTGATCAGCCAGAGTATTCCTAAGGGAACCCAGTCGTATCCTTTTTGAGCCTCAACATGACTTCTAAGAGTTTAATATTTTGAAATGATACTAGGTACCTTAAACTTATTATATTCATATTGATTTGATTTATCACGCCCTGGTTAAAGATGCGAGTGAGGTGGGCAGGCCGAATTAGCAATGGGAGCATTTTATCCAGCCCTGGAGCGTTCTTTCAGGCTTGCCCTCCCCTCGAACATCATTCCACTACCACGATCATTCATCTATGTTATATCTATGGAAGTCTTCTGAGCTTGTACTATTTATGAATTGCTCTCGTTCCATAAGATGCAGCATCTTCAACCACCCATCCCTCCCCAATTCCTTCGTCTAGCCATCGCCAAGTTCTCCCATACAACCACTACCATCGATCATGCCGGTCCACTGACCTGGAATCATATCCCTGGAAATGGAGATCTGGCTTGCATATTTGAGAAGTTCCTCGGCTCCGGCCTTGTGCCATCAAAGATGATTCAGAAAGTGGTTCGAGGTGATGGAATCCTGGTACACTCTCATTCACGCATAAAGCTTGACAGCCAGCAGCTGAACATCTTGATCATCCTATTTAGGAGCAGCTTGATCTCGTATTCTTCACTCGCATGGCAGCAATGCAAGCCCAGCTGATTCCACCTCCAAGGTCACATTTTGCTGTCGTTGTGAAGTCGCCCTGTCTTGCAGTCAAGTATCCTTATGGTGGAACACAGGTGTGTATATTCTGTACGAGATAGGACTTTGGGTAGTGAGTCCTAACAGTACCGTCTTCTGATCCCCCAGATTCGTCGATTTCAGATCAAGTTCACCACAGAGCGTGACTACTTCACGGCCTTGGCTCTTCTAGGTGAAATCAACTGTCCATTAACAGAAGGCAAGATACCAGTTCCAGCAATGCAACGATTTCCTTCGGTGTCGTCATGGACATCAGGACATCTTTCTTCCATTGTCCCCAGGACCACAAACACAGCGGCGACTTCAACTGGCAGCAATGGAGTTCACTTTTACCCCACAGGGGCGTTAGGATCTGGAGGGACAAGTATGTGACGATTCCCATGAACACCGCACGAGCAGCTATCTTACATTCTCGCTTTGATAGCACCCATTCGAGCATCATCTCCCGCGAGCACCATTTCACACCCTGTCTCCAGGTTGGGCCCTGTACGAACTCTCAACCCCCCATCCCGAAGCATGGAACAGCTAGATTTCTTCCAGCTGCAGCATACCTCTGCTCCCGCACACGCCTCAAACAAAGAACCCGATCTACCAAGCTCCCAGCTTTCCACCATATCTGCAATTCATGACATCGACCAGTTAAACCAGATGCTCCCTCCCAAGAGGGACCTGCCCTTCTCAAAGCCAACTTCAAAGCAACCGCGCGCTGCAAGCTTGACTCGAACAACACAGAAGGGTTCCCAGTCAGCTCCGTCGCCAAGTTCTCAACCCACAGAGCCAACGAAGGATTCAGAACCTCGTCCATATCTTCCCGTAGTCGAGTCTAATACTCATTCGGGTGTTCCCGACTCCGATCCCCAAATCTTTTCCCAAACAAATCCTTGTCCCGAGCCCAGCCAGCCAATATTGTTCAATGAAGAACCCCCGGTTTCGCAAAACACAGCTTTGATCTGCGAATCTGCCGAACAGCTATCTCAAGTACCCAGCCCCCATAACGCATCGCACACACAGAATAACCCAACAACCTCGAACTGTAACCATAACCCGGTCAGCAAACCAAACGAGAAAGATCCAGCCGTGACGGAAGACCATCTTGCACGGTATCTGTCTTCACCAACAACTGAGAGAATTGTCTTTCTCGAGAACTGGATGTGCGAGTTGATTGACGATGACAGTTTCATGGCTCTGTGCGAGGACGTGGATGGGACATGGAGGCGGTTTGCATTCGGAAAGAAGCAGTGAGGGATGCAGGATTTCTATTCGCTTGTTCTCTCATATCTTATTTTACTATGTTATATCATATGGTCTTATATCATATCATATCATATCATGCCATACGGAGGAATGTGACTCGGGATAGATGGGAGATGGGGATACTGATGATATGTCATATATGGATCATACATGTATTCCATTCAATAAACTCTTCCTAGCCGAGACACGACTACAGCATAAGATACAAGAGACAAATTTCCAAGGTTGAGCAATCGAGAAGCCCAACCAACGCAAATATTACATGACGAAAAAAAGCCCCCAATTTCCGACAGGCCTCCTTTGTTCAAACAAAAAACTAGACAACTGAAAGATTAAGAGAAGAAGTAGCTAGAGCGAAGCAACTTAACGTGTGCGACGGTAGATCAACCCAGAGAAGACGTTCAAATAGCCCTCCTTGGTGAGCATAGTGAAATCAACAACAACACGACCAGACCCGCCTTGCGACTGGGTCAACTGAGGGGCGAGATTCTGCTCGGATTCGGCCTGGTCATTAGAGAGACCGGGAGGAGGAGTAGACGGCGCATTCTGACCAACAGAGCCCTCAGCACCGACAGCGAGATCAGCAAGGTGTTGAAGAGAGCGCTGCTCATTGGGGCCCATCACAGGCTGCTGGGACTTGGCTAGACCGCCGATTTCAGCTTCCTGTAGCTGGCTCTCCTGGGACTTGATACGACGCCACTCAAGGAAGATGCGGATCTTGGCGTCCCATTCCGGGGTGCCGAAGATATTTTCAAACTCGGAGCCCTCTGCTGCACGCTTGGAGCGACGGTCGAGGATCTCTTCGACTTTTTCGAGGGTGGCCCAACATTCGTTTGCATGTTCCGGGAGAACTGTCGCCTCGAGAAGAGTCATTGAGGCGAGGGCTAGACTATGTAGATCGAAGGGTGATGGGAGGCGGGATTGCATGGTTGACTTGTGCATCTCGTTGATGACCTCCTGCGCGCAGAAGATGATCTCGTATGGGCTGTACACGAAGACGTGGCGCTTGATGAGCAAACGGACGGTCCAGTAGAGTTGTGCTTGGAGACTCTCGTAAAGTGGGCGAGTGTTGGAGTTCTCGGGTAACTCGTGGATCTGGAAGATGTCTTCCATCTCCGCTAGACGCTCTAGGGACGAGACTAGGTTCGCGCCGATAATACGACCCAGGCCGGAGTTAGTTTGGCAGATGTTGTGGTCGACATTAGCCAAAGTGACCATCTCCGAGAGGAATGTTGAATAAGCTGGTGCGAAAGGAGTTAGTGAAACAGCATAATTGTGAAATAAAGAAGATCAACATACAGGCAATTCCGGTTGTGATTTGACCAACAACCCTTTCATCTTCACGGCCGCCAATCTCATGACCACCCAGAACTGTGACATCTGCCACACTGATCGCGTACCACCGGGCCAAGATGACCAAGGATACCCAGTTGCGCCGGGTGAGATTGGCATCCGAGTCGACATCAGAATCCACAGATCGCTTGTTCTTCAGCTGGCCTTGGCTCTTGGCCAACTCGTACCCGAGCTTGTTCGCGGCTTGGACCAGGCTACCCTTAGGGACACCATCTTTCAGAACGAAGTTATCCGGTCCACGGGTGTCACAGTCGATGATCATCAGTAAAAGAGACTGAAGCCAGATAAGGTTGACAGGGGTCGTGTGGACCATCAATGGCTGGCGAGTGTGGAACATGAGGAGATCCTGGGCATTATCAAAGCCGTTGATCTTCTCGAAGTTGCCCGCCACACGAGACAAGTCAGTTCGAGTAACGCTGTACAATGCATGGCAGAAAATTTCCTGTGCCTCGCGATTGCATTGGTGCAAAAGCTCCAATGTTCGCTCCTTGGTGTGGGGAAGAATCGGCAGAAGGGTGTGGATCTTTTGGTAATAACTGCAGTCCGGTGTTAGGTGGATTTCTCATAATTACGAGGGTTATACATTGCACGTACGCATCAAGAGCTCCTTCATCCAGAGTCACTGGTGTCATGTCGTCATCGCCTTCATGCTTTGGCAAATCCGTCATCTCAAGGCCGCTTGGGAGATCATTCTCATGGCCTGTCGGGTTCCAGAACAGATTACCAGGTTTCGGTGCGCCGCCGTTGGCGACAGCTGGGTTGTACGGGTCTGCTGCTGTCTCAGACGCGTCGAAGGCATTTTGCGATACGCGGGCGTTGAAAGAAGGCTGTGCAAACGAGGAGCTGGGGAGACCTTCGAAGACCGAGTAAGTCCTCTTGCGATTGCCCGAGGTCGATTCCACCGGCGATGCGAAATCCTGGTAACCTCTCGGTAGCGACACCTCGTTCATGGACTGGTATGGCACGTCAGGCTGGACGATTCCAGGTTGCATCTGGTTCTCGAGAGTATGGAGTCGCTCGGCGAGTTCTTTGATGTAACTGTGCCTGTTAGCGCTGGCGATTCTTGTAGGGGCGCACTTGTTTTTCCTACCCTTTACTGGGGCCGCGTTTCATAGGGACACGACTGAATTGGCATACAACGCCGAGACGCCTACAGTTGGAGCATGTCTCAAGGCCAGTTTCCGAGCTCGCGTCGCATCGAACCTGTAAAAAGAAAACGCGTCTTAGCTTCAAGGTACACAATCGCGTTCGGGGGGCAGTTGTTATCGTACTTTCTTTCGGCGGCACTCGTCGCAAGCTCTCGAGATCTTTGATCGTTTGCGCGCACTTTGTTCGCCATAGCTCAAGTCGTGGTTAGGGTCGACGCCAACCTGTTGACTCGGAGGGAACTGGAGCATGTGCTGGTGCTGGTGTTGATCCTCCGAAGAGGTTCGACCCATGTCGGCAGCATTGGAGGAACCTAACACCATAGACTGGCCATGGTGAACACCATTGTTTGTTTCGCCAAGGCCTGGACCGGAGGCATCACGCGAAAGCTCCGCGGAGAGCAGCTCATCGGTGGTCATTTGGCGGTTACCATAATACGAGGGTACGCCCTGGGCCATCTGCGCACCGTTGGGGGACGGGTAAGAGGGCGCCGGAGGCATATCAGACTGCTCGCGAGAGTTCATCGCGCGATATAAAACCGAAAATCTCACGGGAAATGATGGGTTGTGGGCAAAGCGGGCCTCCGAGAGGTGGAGGGAAGAGAGTGTAGGACGCGAAGTGCAAGAAATGAAGTTTCAACTAAAATTTCGCGGGGGAGGAATTTTCAAGGGGGCTAGCGCCGAGAGCGCCGCATTAAGCAACAACATTTGTACAGAGGATTCATTGGAATTAGATATTATTTTGAAGCTATATACAGTTGTTTACTTCCCCGAGTCTTTTTTGGATGATCGCACGGAGGACGGCCTTTCGTTTCTGCGTGTCGAACGGATTAATACTATTTCCCTTTCGGCTTCGGATGAACTATGTACACAGGGTTACATTTTCAATCATTCATAGAATACTTTGACATATTTGGTCCTGCCATATTCGAGAGTATTGAGTTGGTATGGACTGATGCCCGTCTATACCAATGCTCTACAGAGACTTTACATGCAAATGTCTACACCGTCGATGTTGGGATGAGCATGTACCTGCACCTGTGCCAGTGGCACCACCTTATAACATACGAGGGCGGCCACTGGTGTCTCAGTGAGTATCAACCATGCTTTCAAGCTGGCAAATTATATCCGATTATTCAGTGAATGTTTGTCTACACTGACATTGTTTTCATCCTTCCGGAGATCACCTTTGACCTAGAGTTGCATATGATGTTCCACCATATGTACTAGAAGTGCTCCCTCGTTTTCGAGAAACTAGTCTTTGATTACATGTATTTAACATCTGGTCAATAACCCAAGGAAAGCAACGAACGATTTGGTTTGCTGAGCCAGCTATTCCAGCCTGATACTGATAGTGACTACGAATTGAGTTGGGGTTCCAAGGTTGCCATTATTCATTATGGGAGATCAAAATCAACCAAAGAGTATTAGAGAGTAGAGAGTATACAATTTATGATTGGTTTACTTCTACCTTTCATTACGTACCCGGCCATTTTTTCTTTGCTAAATGAGTATCCCGTTCATGCATAGTGTCTCATACTTGGTCGCTAATATTACCCTTGGATCGGTTTAGCGTTCCTGCTAAGGGGTATATTATAATAACTCCTCTGTGTTAGTGTGGTTGATATTAAGGACAGAAAGGGTCAAACGGGCACCGCTTACATAGGAATTCTTGGCTTTGACTTGAGAAACTTGCTAGAAACGATTCGGAGACGTAGATGTAGACCATAATATAACTCCAACTCCAAGGCGGCTTGAACTTTGTCGAAATGGCCTACATCATACGTGTATATATATACTTCCAGCCTGTTTAAAGCAGTTCAAGGCATATACTGGGATGAGAAAGATAAGTACAAATAGAAAGAGTCCGTATAATCGCAAATAATTACCTAAAAAAATCCCCCCATAAGATAGGGTAAAAGAAAATGTAGATCAGGGCCCCGAACTCACTCTGCAGCCCGCTCGAAGCAGGAACACTGACGCCATCAACCCACTCTGGCGCTATGGCATGTGTATTGTACTTGTACGGAGTCAGTACTGGTAACACATAACTGACGATGTATACGTGGACTCCCTCCACTGGCCTTTTTTACTTTTTCCTTATTTTCCTTTTCTTATCATTTGCCTTTTCCAAGGGCCAGTTTCCTAATACTGTTTGAATGCAGGGATTATGGAACGTTCTTGGATGTACCTGGAAGCGCTAGGACCCTTGAAACAAAATTTAATACATAGATTCAGCCCCAGGCGCACAATAATATGGCAGTTTATGTCAACCTTAGGAGGTCGGGATGTGCGGCCCCAGATTTTAGATCCATTTTTTTTCTAGTGGAGTGGCGCTAGATTTTTGTTAAGGAACTCCTACAACATATGGGCTTTTATCTATCCGGTTGGGGCTACCAGGTTGGGCCAAAAAAAAAAGTCAAAATTTTATAAAGGAAATGGAGGGAATATATAAAACTAGTAATATACAACTAGCAGATAAAAAGAAGCAAAAACTAAATTCAAATGTGCGTAAACCCTATGGCTGTGGAGTCGGAAGGGTTTGCTGTATGTATTATTTACTACATGGCCATGTGTAAAGTAACCTAAACCTGTAAGTTAAAAGCAGTTAAAAGTAGCTAAGAGTAGCTAAAGTAACAAAAGCAGTCAAAGACCCGTAAAATACATTACCATTCGGCCACCCAGAAAGACCAGTGGCGCAGCGAAAATCCTCGTTCCATACCCCGTTATTAACGGCTGCCCGCCCTCCTTCCTCTCCTCTTTTCTTCTCTTCATAGGGTGTCTAACGTCTTCTTTTTCGAACGCTTTATATCTTGGCCGCCACTACCGGTACTTGGTGTCCTGTCTAACGGCCGGCGCCAAACGGTGCGTAGGCTTGGTCCCCCTCTCTGCTCTCTCTCTTACTCTCCGATCCCTGACCTGACCACCCCCCCCCTCCTCCTACCTCGCGCCTGAGATACCCTTTCGATTTACTATTTGCCTTCTGCTTTCTATTCCAATCAAGGACTGTGCGGTGGCTCTCAACGGCATTTTATACTGCTAGTCCGGCGTTCTGTGAACTCCTCTGCGCATTGGGACCTTCGACTATACGATTATACCCTTTCATTTTGTTTTACTCGGCCCTGACCTCAAAAGAGGTCGTTGCCAATCGCCTTGACGGCTTGATATCTTGGTCTTCTGAACCGATCTCTTTTATTTCAATACTTCGATTTTCCCTGATATCCCTCGCGAATCATCGCATGTGTACCTCCCAGTAACACCGCAGCGATGCTCATCGATGGTGAAAAGTATGCTTGTGAAGCTTGCGTCCGGGGTCACCGAGTCAGCAGCTGTCACCACAGCGGTACGCCAATCTTGACGATATTTCAATGTATATCTATGCTAATTCCCCCATTAGACCGCCAATTGACCCACATCAATAAAAAAGGCCGCCCAGTCTCTCAATGTGCTCACTGCCGCGGCCTACGCAAGTCTCGGACAACTCACACCCAGTGTGATTGCGGCGACAAGAAGAAGAAGGAAGATTGCCATGCCGGTGTTTCCCATGGTCGCTGTGGCTGCTGCCATGGCCAGCGTTGCACCTGTGCACTCAAAAAGGAACACCTAGATACCGTGCCTGAAACCGGTCTTCCCTTCTCTCCGCCCCCGCTTATGATTGATCCCCCGCGGAAACCCCCTCTTACGTCTACCAAATCGGAATCGACGCTCACGATTTTCCGCGACGGTCATCATAAACCCGCCCACAAGCATAATGACATGGCCCACAAATGTGGATTGCCTTATACGATCCCACGATCGCATACCATCCACCACCCAACCGACTTGCCTCGTCGGTCGGTGGATCATTTGCCGCTAGGCCAGTCGGCCTTCATCCAGGAACCTCTTACCTTGTCCGAATTTCCCACATCACAACAGACGTCGCAAAATGGTTCTCCCAACAGCGCGCTTGGTTCGGGTGCCGAAGACGATTATAATCCCGCCCCTCCTGATCACTTGTACATCGACAATTTTGCTACGCCAGCACCTCCCGCTCCGTCATTAGACCGATCCCATGATGTGCTCTCGAACCCGACATCTACCCCTGCAGCTATGGACAAATACCCCCTGGAACAGATTGTCACCAGTGTTCCTCCCCTTGACATCTCTTCTTTCGCCTCCTTTCCGACCACGAGCACCAATTCTCCCATCACCTGCATGCCATTCCAAGAACCTTATCAGGAATGTTATTTCACCTCTCCAGATTCCGATATGCCCCTGGGGTCTGCTGGCATTGGTGCTCCCTCGGTCGACTGGTCAAGTTTCCCTCTCTACTCCGACGTGCCTGCCGCAAACAGCACGCAAGCTCCTTCATATGCTAGCTATGATTATAACGCATATCCCTCGGGTCTCCCACCACCCTCGTCATCCGGAGACATCTCCGAGGCTGACGAGTTTGGACCGCTTCCCGGCTTGGGTCATGCTAGCAATGACATGCACGATCTACACAGCGTGAGCGAAGCGTCTGACATAGAGCATCTCCGCGTCAGCTCTGCATCCTCATTGGTCGGTCTACCTCAGGCGCGTCTCCTGTCGTCCAATGACCTGGACTCGATTAACATAGATGACTTCCTCAAGTCGACTAATGAGTCCACCGCTGCGCTCGAGCACCAGCTGCAAGCCAGCATGAGCATGGAGCCTAAACCAGTCCCTGCCCAGGATATCTACACCATGTCGCAGATACCATTGTACAAGCCCATGACGTCGGTCCCGATTACCAGTGCTCCCTCTCCGCCGCCGGACTCCGTTCCTATCTGGCCTGGTGGTCTCTTCGATGCCGGTTCCACTCCGCCCAGTGACGGTAACTTCTTCCAACAAAACTGGGCCCAGTAAAAAACGGTGCTCGTCTATCCTTGCTTATCTTCTCTTCCTCTTCTACTTCCTTTGTCCTGGGGCTTGCTCTTGTGGCAATCTACCACCACCTCTACACCGTCTTCATGACCTTGATGAGAGATGATGATAAATGCCTGATTTGTCCTGTTCCATTAGCCAGTCTAGATTCCTTCCTTGATAGCCATTTAATCTAGAGGGGTTTGCGATTTGGACACTTGCACGTGCCTGTACATTCTTTTGCTTTTGCTTCCGTACACATGTTTTACTCTTCCCTTGCTTACATTCTCGCTGATGTATAGACTGTTTTTCATTTGTGTTTTTACATGTACAATGACTTGGTCGATACATCTCCATACACTTGCCTCCGGACAACGATACCCAGTACGGATCAATTTTGCCTTTGGATGTTCATCACCATGCACCCCATATTTTATTATATAGGGCAGCACAGAACGCTAGCTGATATACCCCAAGCCGATGATATCACGAATCAATTACCTATCAACTAGGTAACCCAATTTAATACCAAATAAACTACCTGTATTACTCAACACTAGTAACAATCACCCGGCCCGGAGTCGATCGAATGCAAAGAGGATCCCGGTCAGGCGGGATGTAGCGGTGAGAAAGTCAAAGCTACATCCACAGTGGCTCTCAGCTGCCTCATCAGCCCGACTCGTGGATTGGTCAGGCTAAACTGCCTTCAGCCCCCAGCTTACCCTCTTGCCCTAAGTATCCAATGATCGAGTTACAACTCAGCCCTTCACTCTGAGACATCACTACGATCCTTCCCCACACTGCTTTGAAACATAGAAACAATCTCTATATCGCACAAATAACAATTTACCATACAAAGGAACAAATCACATACTATGTACTAGTATATCACACTACTCCACCCAGACTAGAGCCAAACAGCACGCTCCATATCAACTACGTACATAGGTATCCCAGTGCAACGCACATACATACATAATATACACACGTCGTACTGCAAGGAGTACCCCTGTAGCAGCGCCAACCCATAGCTAAGCATTAGCCAAGACAACGCAAGTCAGGGCTTGGAGCACGAGGTGCGGTGTGACTACTGGATGCTGCACCTTGCGGTACGATCAGGTGTTGCGTGTGCGATCTGGTGTGGGTCGTCGGTACCGATGGCCGGTTACCGAAACCATAGCGTAAGGTGTAAGTGAGTGGGTTCGTTGCGCCTTGCATATGTATGGGTCTTGGGATAGGGATGGATGTTGTAAGATGTGCATGTTGGGACTGAGGTGGATCTAGAAGGATAGAATTAGGTTGGTTTTACCGAGGTCATAGGTTCTGATGAATCAGCTGTGTGTTTAATGTTTGCCTTCGTTGCTTTTGCGTGTCTACATACTTTGGAACGAACTCACCGCTTCTTCGCGTCTGTGTCACAGGACATGTCAGATTGAGGTATAATATGTATACTGTTGTGATTATCTAGTAATGACAAGCCTCTTGTTGGGATCAATGTAGCTGAGTACTAGTTCGTAGACCATGCTACAAGGAGAGTTCGGTCTTAGCTCGCGGTTCGAAATAAGCATTTATCAAGCAGAAGAATTGCTTTGCATATTCTCTAATTAGTTAAATATATCTATGTCATTATACACTGCACATCAAGTTTCATCTCAACCCCTTAAGATCATTGATTGTTACCTCGTCTTTCTCTTCTTTTTAGGGTTGTGAGTTGTAGTGGGTCCGGCAGAGGACAATCCACCGTATATATATTTTACTCGGCATGGGAGCTCAATATTTGATCATGTCAAACAATGACCTCATTTTATTAACGGAGAATAGGCAAAATGGTTTTTCAAAATGACAGTCGAGAGGTAAAGAGAGAGAAAGAAAAATAGAGGATCATTCCTGAGCCAAGAGCTAAACATATCTCTCATCTTGGGATACCAAGAGGGTAGATATAGATCAAATTTTCAAATCTTTTCAAAACCTCTGATCAAAGCGAGGAGAAATGGAAATGAATGATAACTTGCTCCCTTGGAGTAGCGTTAATAACTACAATAGGAAACGTAAAATGTGTTTCTATAGTAGAAAATCCTAGAGAGAACATGGGCGTGGTTGGGCTACGGCCCGACTGCCGAAACATTGCATGACGCCGTTTCCTTTTGTAGTTATCATCGCTGTGCCAAGGGTACAGGTCATCATTACTAGAGGTCCTTTTGAAAACACTAGGGTTTTGTTTCCATATTTGTGCTGGACGCCTGGTCACGAGATGTCCTCCCTCCTTCACATATCTGATGAGGTCCTTTAAATGTTGCGTCCTTAATCTATAATGCTTCTTGCCCTTTGGGTCTTACCGGCAGTATTGCCCTGTATGAAGGTATGGAGGCCCAGGGCATCGCATGATACGATATACATCTCTCCATACTGGGTCATGGCTAGAGGCATGCTCGGCGTCAATCTAAACGTCTCGTTCGGCGAGCATTCGCTTAGTCACGGATGATCTTCCTCTCTTGTCAGTGCTGGGAGGAAGAGACCCGCTGTCATCTATATAGTTAATAGCTATCTGAAGCCGGATCGTCTTGCCACGATGAAAAAGATGGGTCCACGCTAGTAGCTGTTTCTCCACATCCTGCCAATCAACACTAGTACACTCAAAATGTTTATCAATATTCCGTTGGGAGTTGACCGATACAGTACTGTTCGAAATCAGCTTTACCTTCACACTCTTGCACTTTCCTAGAGCCCCACATGCAGTGCACTAGTTTAAAATAGGATGGTGGTCCTCCTGAATTGCATCTACCAATATATCTTGGAGAGATACGGTAAATGATAATTTCATTACTAAGAAGCCATATTTACAATCAAGCGGATTATTTACTATAGCTGGTTGTGAAGAAAAAGCTTCCAAAAACCACTCAATTTTTCTCTCGACATGTATTTAAACCAAGCTGGGCTACGTACTGGGTACATTGACTTCAGTGACTCCCATGAATAGTACCGTAATAACTCCGTGACATTCCATTCGCTGCTAAAAACACCCACTAGCTCAATGACTTGTGCGCCCTCGAGATTCGCAATTCGGATCTAGCCGCTTGTCGAATTAAGCAAATGGAAAGTAAAAAGACCGGTCCATACGTGTAACGAGACAGGAAATTGACCACAGTACTATGAATCCGAACCAGAGTTGACACTCATTCTCATCCCGCTGATAGGGTCTTTAAAGGTGGTATCGCGATGAGTGGACTCGAGTCGACTTAGCGTTGACCTCACTTCTTGAAGCAGGTCAGCTCCGAAGGTAGGATATTCCTGAGTTTCCTGCACAAATTTATAGTTCTCATCTCGAAGATACCCTTCAACCGAGGCTGCTGCTAGGATGCAACGCACCAAATGCCCTGGGGGCAAAAAGGTTGCCCATATAATATGTTGATGTGTGAGGTAATATATTAGTATCGATATGCCGAAAAAAAAAAGCCGGGAGTAGATTTGGCAACAAGTATATCCTTGATATACCGAGCCGTTTGAGATTCTATCCCTGTAATATTGCACATGTCTGCAAGTCTGGCGAGCTCTATCATAGCCGATATTTGATCTTCTGGGCCTTCGAAATCGAATTGAATCCTGCGTAGGTATATCCACTGTATGAGTGCTTCGAAACTCCGCACTGAGACCACCCCATCCACTTCTTTTAGAGTTGATGCCTGCTGCTCTCCCTCTGCAAAGTTACTTTCAAACATCGCTGTAAAATAGGTAGACTCTTTGCAAAGGAGGTGCTTTGAAATTTCGTATTCGTGGTTGTTAGAGCCTATCTGAATTTTGACGGTAGGACCATGATACCGTGGAAGATGGCTGGGTGAGAGGGGTTTTAGACACCAACGATCTCGAGAACATTTTAACGTGTGACTTACGTTGCTGCAAATTCAGAAGCACTTGCTTCAGACAGGTCGGTCATTGCTTCGATTCGAGATAGGGTTAATGAGGAAGAAATGGTAAAAAGGCGGAGTGAAGAGAGGGGTAGTAAGTGATGTATTCTACCGCACATCAGTTTTCATTACTGTGACTGGAATATAAGATGACTGAGCAAAGGTACTTAGTCAACGCGGCTTGTATCCTAATATGAGCTAGTGCTGTTCATGTCTGTTCTTGAATCAAAGTATGAGATTACTGAGTCTGCTTTTGCCCGCTCTCTTACTGTTTTTGTGAGTGACCGCGATGAGGGTCGTACATTGGCGTTGAGGCGCCGGCTCGGGATGTGCTGCTTTTGCTGCACGCTTTGTCGTTTCCCACCTTATAGCAATCTCTGTCGAGCATAGAGCACTGTTTATCACATCGGACCCAACAGAAGACATGAAAAGGCGACAATTTTGGCGTCAATTACCTGAATCTTCATACTCCAGGTGTAAGATAGGGATCATGAGTAGGGGGCTCGCTCAAGATTTAGGTGCTGTAAAAAGCCACTAAACTATGAGATCCAAGATTATTACTATACCTGATCAGCCTGAGGCTCAATGCTTAACTAATCCCGAGCAACCTTGGGCCATAAACCTCCCGAGGTCATCAGGCAACCTTGAAAGTAATCATCCTCATCCTCACCATGGATATCTACGCACGTGTTCGGACAAGCATAACATCCTGGAGACACGACACACCTCTTCCAACCGATCTACCAGGAGATCCAAAATTCCAGTCCTGGCACCAGTTCGACCCCAACTCCCAGCAATGGAATCCAGTAAGCGCGACTGAAAATGCAGAGTCACCCCGCGTCGATGAACCATCATCCGATTTAGTACTCTTAACATGGAACATCGACGCATTATCCGAGCGGACACAAGAACGCATCACTGAAATTCTCACATTCATCACCCACCTGGATTCCAAGGTGGACGTGATATTCCTGCAAGAAGTCTCACAGCGGGGTTTGCGACTGATTTTGAGCGACGAGCGTATTCGAGCATCGTGGTTTTCGAGCGAACACGAGAACTCGCCGACCAGACATTCTTTTACCACGATGACGTTAGTATCTAAAACACGCTTTTCACGACCAGGCTCCAAGGTGAGCAGGTTCGCTCTAGGGCCTATGTGGAGGGTAGCGTTTCCTAGTCACTTTGGAAGGGATGTATTATTTTGTGATCTGTTTGTTCCTTCACCTACAGACGCTTCTTCTACCACACGAGTACGACTTGCAAACGTTCATCTGGATTCCCTGCCTATCCAACCTTCTCACAGACCCCAACAACTCTCTATTGTCTCCTCTTTCCTGCGTAGTGCAGGCCGTGGGCTGGTTGCTGGTGACTTTAACCCCGTTTTGGATGAAGATGCCGTCCTGATAGAGTCCAATGGACTTACAGATGCCTGGTTAGCCCTTCAGCCTGAAGAACCTGGGTATACATGGGGAGCGGATGGGAAGCAAAGATTTCCGCCGAATCGGATGGATAGAATTGCGCTGCTTGGTCTCAAAGCGCGTGGTATTGAAATATTGGAGGCTCGGCGAGTGGGGGAGTTGGATGGACGACAGAACTCGCAAAGTGAGACGAATATTCCTGAGTCCCAGGACACTGAGCCTACAGCTATACCCTGGAGCGATCACCATGCTTTGCTTTGTTCTTTTGCACTTGAAGAGTGAGTAGTAATATTCGCTGAACCTAATATTTGCACTATCATTATCGGATGGAATTGGCACTTTATGTCACCTCTCTTTTTTCCCGATACCTCCTAGTCATCCCTCTCTTTATTCGTCTACTACTAGTCAACGATGAAGTCAAGGACAGGAACAGGATGATGCAGATACAAGATCTTATTAGGAATCAATGAAGCAAAATTCATTCTCTATAAAAGGAAAACCGAGATATGGAGCACATAAATCAAACAGAACGATGCAAATGTATACCACTATTCACAATGCGATGCGTAAGTGCCTCAGAAGAGTACCCATAAATGATAATCGAAAATAGCAAGCCCAATAGAGTCAGTAGTCTAGAGGTATCGAGGGCGAACCAATTCCAGATCCATATCCAAATTCAAATAATCGAAAGGTTGCGTCGTAGGGGGGTACGAATATATCCACATATAAATGAATATCAAACGATCTCGTATATACGTGAAACAGACGGCGATGGATGGTCAGTTCACATTTATATAGCTTTTTGTGCATGTGTGCATATTCATCGGTACTTGTTCATGAATTCCGAGTGGAAATTGACGATGCGCTCAACCCAGTCGATGCCGGGGGCAAGGAAGGTTGTGCGGAAGTGGAAAGTGTTCTCCTTCTGACCGAAGCCAGAGCCGGGAACGACGCAGACACCGGTGGCGTCCAACAAGGCCAAGCAGTAGAACTCATCAGCGGGGCGGCCCTCGGCGGCGGCGGCATCCACGGCCTTTTGAGGGAGGTGGATAGTGGGGAAGAGGTACATGGCACCCTGTTGAGACGATTAGTAAATGAATGATAATTTCAATCAGTCTACGATACGTACCTGGGGCTCCTGGAGCTCAACACCCTCCATGCGCTGGAAGGCGTTGAACAAGGAATGAGCGCGCTTGCGCAGGCCATCCGAGATGGCGTTGTACTCCTTGTGGTAGAGCTCGTAGCTAGGATCGCCCTTGAGGGGAGGGTTGACCATGCACTCGAGCAGGCACTGTGCGACGACCGGCGGGCACAGGCCAATGCTGACGAGCTTGTAGATCTGCTCCTGGACGAGGGGGTCGAAGCCAACAAGCTCGAAGTAGCCACCGCGGTGGCCGCATTCACCAACCATACCCTTAGAGAGACTGTGTAGCGAGACCAGCTCGACATCGTCGTACTTGCCGGGCTGCTCCTGCTGGAGCTGGCAAAGACGCTTCTTGAATGAGACAAACTCGCCCTGGAAAACATTGGTCTGGTACACCTCGTCAGCGATAACCACCAAGCTCTCCGCAGCGGCGACATCAAGGACCTTCTTGATGTCGTCGGCGCTCAGAGAGGCACCGGTTGGGTTACCGGGGTTGATGACGACAATGGCGCGCACATCGGTGCCGGCGGCCTTGGCCTCCTCCATGGACTTGAGGATGACGTTGACGTCAGTACCCCATGCCTTGTCCTCCTCGAGAAGGTAAGGAACGCAGCGAGCATTCAACAGCGTCAAGCTGGCGGTGTAAAGAGGGTACTGAGGAATAGGGACCAGGATACCGGCACTGGGATCGTTGCAGATGACGTTCAAAATGGTGCTCACACCCGATGAAGCACCGGCGGTCAGGAACAGGTCCTGGGGGTTGGCAGGGAAGCCATCACGCTTCTCAATGAACTTGGCGACGCTGTCCCGGATGCCTGGTGCACCCTGGCTGTGACTGTAGGCGCCAACGCTCTGCACATTGACCAAAAGGGCCTGGGCTCGGTCGATCACATCCTGTTTGTATCCAAATGACTCCTTGAGGACCTCGGGGTTCTTCAACAACAAGGGGTTCTCGACAAGACTGAGGACCTGGCGGAAGAAGGTGATGGGCTGCTGATCGAGCTGTTGAGGGTTACCGATGTTGGCGAAGATGACGCTATCAAAGGGTAGGGACTTGTCGCCGTCAATCAGACGTTGGCGGTAGGCCTCAGCCTTGACGGCCAATTCACCGCGTACGGCGTACTTGGCGTCCTTAACATGCTGGTTGATGTTATCGACGTTTAGGCATTTGCGGGACTTGACAGCCGAGAGGGTGCGCTTAGCGGTATATGCGACGGTGGTTTGAGTCATGATGGGCTCTGGATTGACCCGGAGGTTAGTGAGGTTTAGAATAGAGAGACTATGCAGTATCCCAGTATGTAGGAGAATCAAGTATATAAAGGTCGCAGAGAGGTTTAAATTGCCAAAAATGGGGAGATATGGCCAAGACAAGTATCACACCATAGAATGAGGTAAAATACTCAACGCCAAAGGATTGCGGAGGTCTCCCAACTATGTAAGCTGGGGTGACATCGGGTTCTCACGTACCTGATCTAGCGGAGAGACACCCCGCAGCGCCACGTGCGGCCGGGCAATGTAGGAGTCCGTTAGCCCGAGTCAGCGCCCGTAGCGGAGAGGCCCGCATACTGGATGCGAGCTTATATTGCCAGGACATTTTGACGCGTCAATCAAGGATTAGATTGATCAATAAAAAAAAAAAAGTCCTTTTGACACCCCTGTCGTGATTGTCCGATTGCGATCGGGAGAAGAAGGGGGAAAAAATATATTTTTCATTGGGCGGTGAGTGCCCGTGACTCAGCATTTCCCCACACCGGCAAGCCGATTACGATAAGGATTTTTTAAGATATCAGACATTTTGGAGAGGATAGCCAGCGGGAGATGCGGCTACAGCGGACAATTTTGGTCCTTGATAAGAACTACTGTGTTCGTATACACATTTGTGAGGATCATCCACGTTCATGCATAATAACATGATCGGCGACGATCATTTCCCGAGGAAAAGTCAGACCGGTCGCCCGATGTTGAGCCATTTTCCGGAGCTGCCCGGTGCGGGAATTGGAAGGTTTTACTTTTAGTCAGGGATTGATCAGGTCATGGCATGGGTGGCATGTCATAGAATACATGGGATCAATGGGTTTACGGACACGCAGTAAGTAAGATTCTCCATTCAGGCATACATAGTTGATCATAGGTGATTTTGAGGCTCAGAATGCCGCCAAGTTTGTAGATATACCACTTTAGCTTCGCTCACTCCCCCGAAGCCGCACAGCTTGGCCGTACTTCTGGATCTTGGTGATAAGAGAGTCACCATGCTTCACTACATCGGCATACTGCTTGTTCTTATCATCTGGTCGATTCGTCTCGATGATACCATTGACACGATCGATCGTGCACGCAATGCGGTTGTTTGAAATGAACTTGGCAAGGTCCCTGTGGTTATGATCAGCAAACGAATTAATATTTGAAGAGATTCAGACAGCACATACCGATCCAAGTAGTCCACCGTCACACCGAAGTCGTTGGCCATACCACTCAGCCCCACCACACGGTAGCTCTGAAGAAGTTGCTGGTAGGCGCGCAGTCGCATCTCACGAACAAACCAAGCTCGGTGCTCATGCAGATACCGGTCTTGTGTCAGGAACTGGTCCTCAACGGCCGCGAGCGCCACAAAGAACGAGCGGTAGTTGCCGTTGTACAGACTAGTAACCAGGTTTGCGAGCGGTGCGAAATTAACGGGCGCCTCAGCCTCTACTGGGACACCGGATCCGGTTGAGAAAGAGGAGATGTTGACAGCGGTCTTGGCGCCGGCGGGTGTGGGTAGTGAGGCTGTTGCATCCTTCATCTCCTCATCGCGGGCACCGGGGCCTGATGAGATTTCCCCACTCAGCGCAGCCAGTTGGTCCTCCCCGGAGCCAAGGATGGCCTTGATCTCTGGTGCATCCACCACCTTCGCCTTAAAGTCCACACGCTTGAGGGACAATGATCCCGCCAGCACCGAGTAAATCACCAGCGAAGAATAGCTGCAAAGTTCGTAGCTTGTGAAGGTAGACAGACTGTCGAGAAGGAGAGGAGCGGCAAGGCTGTAAGAACGAATGGTGAGCAAATGTAATCCCTTGTATGCCTTGAGACGGTTTCTACGGTCCCAATCTCCACCACTCTCTACCAAGGTCTCTGCTCGCTCAATGGTCTTGTTCACAAACAAAAGGTCGCCGAAGAAGAGTCCGATGCGGAGCATAGCCATCACGAGATCAATCTTGGTGCCGAGGAATCCGGTCTTTTCGAGGAGGGCTTCGTGCGATTCGAGTGCTTTGTCCTATTGGAATAACGGTGTCAGCTAGCAGACTCACAAGCTTAAAAGAGAAACGAAGAATCCTCACCTTATCTCCCACACGAGCCCAGAACTCAGCTCGCTTCCCGCGCGCAGCCTGTACCTCAGTCTCCCCAGCAGCCTCTTCTGCGTCATCTTCCTCCTTCTGAAAAGTCTCCAGTTCTTTCTTGTTATCCTCCAGTAGAGACTGGTAGAGCTTCTCATCCCAAGGGAAATCAAACTTCAGCGGTGTTTTGCGAGATGCAAGAAGATTAGACGTGATGAGAGGCTGCGTTGAGTTGCCTCCATTTTGTGGGAGCTGTGTTACGCCTTCGCCGGAGTTGTTCAAGATGCCTTCGGTGGGATGGGCGAGATGCCGGTAGAAGGGAGCCATTTTGTTCTCCAAGATAACGTCTTGGAGCTTCTTCAATGATGTCTGCTGGACGGCTGGGGCGCATGCTGGGTTGGAGATGTTGAAGACATGTTGGGCGATAGAGAGGTTAGGGAACTTGATGTACTGCGGATCAGACCCCATGGTGGCGATGGAGAACTGGAGCTGACAGGACTAGCACGAGCTAAAAAAAAAGATGCAATAGAGTAGAGAGAAGATGGGAGCTGGTGATGTTGGTGATGAGATCAAGCCAGGTGCATCACCGTAACCCAAGCTCAGCTGGCAGAAAGTTTCTCCGTGCCGAGCCTTAGCCCTCTCCCTCCGAACATCCAGATAAATCTATCTTGTATGAGATCCGGTCGCATCTAGTTTAAAATATATTTGGTTTTATATACAAACAAAATATTTGTACTTCTATATCTCGCCCTTGAAATATATACGTATATGAAGATGTATATATATGTTTGCAATAGCAATCACATTGGATCAAGGTAGGCTTGAAGACATTCTAGGAATGCCATGTGCTGGCTTGCGCAAGAAAAGACCTTTGTGAATAATCTATAACTGCAGGTGTTGTGGTCAAGGCTCAAGTCCAAGGATTCACTGATTCTACAACATAGGACTGATCCGTTATCATGGAAAAATCGCTGGTTTAGGTAGTTGGGTCTTTCTCGATCCTTCGAAAGCCTTTTCATTTAAATATTTGAGACTATTGGCCACTTTTGTCCATGTCGGTCTTCGATAAAGGAAGTCAGAATCCGGCAGGTCGTTCCAGCCCCCAATTCCAATGGGTAACTACCAATGCACGTGCACTGGGTTATATACACTTCTCCTATCAAGACAACCTGGACACTTTGAACTGATTTACGTATATGATTTAAATGAGGAGCCGCGCGTTCAATTTCATACCGATATCAACTCATATATCTTTAAAACCTTCCGACTGATGGCCGACTGAAACGTAGCCCGGCTTCTCTAGTCGGATATGCCATTGGCTAGAGAATGGTCCCTTGATATTTATTGTGTCTATCATTGGCCTACACATTTTAGAGGCTAAATTACGCAAAGCTAATTGGTTAAAATTACCAAGGTCGGGGCCGGGGTCCCACTAAGTACCGATACATGGCTAAGGCCGGCCTCTACACTCTCTGATAGGTACCTGGTACTTCTCCCTATACGACTTAGAGTGATGCTATTCCCGAGTAAGCTTGTTTTTTTTTTTTTAATATTCTCTTTTTAGATAATTTTTTTAATAGTCAGCCACTTTTATCTTTTCTCTCTGCTTCAAAACTCTTCGTTCTCCTCTGTTTTAGAGAGAAAACGGTGATAGTCGATCGACGCGGCTCTTGTTATTGTGATCCGGTGACACATTAACTGTGCATTGGTCTCGTGCCAACTTTTACTATTCTTTTGACGCTCAAGCTCGCGCGATTAAACACAGCCAAATTTCTTATTATTCCTAAACACGATCACAATGGCCGAGCCTCAGTCCTACTCCAAGGAGATGTCCGAGAAGGGCGCGCATCCCCTCGAGGAACAGCCTGTCGAGCTACCACCTCTTGACGAGATCGAAAAGGGTCGCTGGGAACGTAGTTGGCCCACTATTGCCTGTGGTGCTGGTCTCTTTTCTGATGGCTACTTGAACGCGGTATGTTGTGTTCCGTGCCCCGCAACTATACTATCCCACATGGATGTGCAGTTTGGGGAATATTCAAATGTTGATTTAATATTTACTAACACACTTGGATCCAGATCATTGGTCCTGTCGGTACCATGCTCCAAAAGATCTACGGGGATGGATACACCAACTCGACGGCCCAACAGAATGTCTCTTCGATTGTTTTTGCCGGCACTGTTGTCGGTATGCTGCTATTTGGCTACACTAGTGACCACTGGTCACGCAAGTGGTCTTTGATGATCTCCACCATTATCCTGTTTGTCTTTGCAGCTCTCTGCGCTGGCTCCTATGGAGCTGGCGGTAGCCTGGGTGGTATGCTTGCTGCTTTGACGGCCTACCGTTTCTTCTTGGGCATTGGTATTGGCGGAGAATACCCTGCTGGATCAGTAGGTGCAGCGGAGAATACTGGAGAGCTCAAGAAAGGCCATCGCAATCGTTGGTTTGTCATGTTCACCAACTTCCAAATTGATTTCGGTTTCGTGGTTGCTGCTTTGGTGTCCATGATTTTGGTCCTGATCTTCACCGAGAAGCATCTGCACGCTTGCTGGCGTGTGGCTCTGGGGCTGGGAGTCATCCCCCCTCTCAGTTTAATGTATCTCCGACTGAAGCTGAATGAGCCCGAGGAGTTCACCCGGGAGCGCATGCACAAGTTTCCGATCCTGCTGATTATCAAGTAAGTACGATATTCCCTAATGCGTGGAATTGTTGACTAACAAGCTTAGATTCTATTGGAAGCGCTTGGTACCAACCCCCGTCTACATGTTGCCCTTACAGGTGTGAGCAGACTAACTGACTGGGTGTGATCTATAGACCGTTGTTTCTATTATCTGGTTCCTTTACGACTTCTCTGCCTACAGCTTCGGTATCTATTCTTCGGCTTGGCTATCGATCATCTTAGGTGAAGATGCTCCCTTGTGGAAGAGCTTCGGGTGGTCTACCTTGGTCAATTCTTTCTACATTCCAGGTTCCGTCCTTGGAGCCTTCATGGCTGACTGGATTGGCCCTCGCTACACCCTTGCCATTGGTGTCGGACTCCAGGGCGTCATCGGGTTCATCATGGCCGGATGCTATAAGTGGCTTGCGACCCCAGAAAACGTGGCAGCCTTTGTTGTCGTATTCGGGTAAGGTTACCAACAAAGTTCTTGGGCTTTACCAATTGCCAACGCTAATATTTTGGGCACAGAATCTTCTCTGCTCTCGGCGAAATGGGACCTGGCGACAACATCGGCCTCTGCGCCGCCAAGACCAGCGCGACTGCTATCCGTGGCCAATACTACT